GTGTAGTGGAGCGTAGTGGAATGTAGTGTAATGTAGCGTAATTTAGTGTAATTTAGTGTAGTGGAGTGTAGTGGAGTGTAGTTGTGTAGTCGTAGGTGTAGTTGTAGTGTAGTGGAGTGTAGTGTAGTGTAATGTAGTGAAGTGTAGTGGAAGGTAGTGTAGTGTAGTGTAATGTAGTGTAGTGTAGTGCTGGAGTGTAGTGGAGTGTAGTGGAGTGTAGTTGTGTAGTTGTAGTTGTTGTTGTAGTGTAGTGGAGTGTAGTGTAGTGTAATGTAGTGAAGTGTAGTGGAAGGTAGTGTAGTGTAGTGTCATGTAGTGTAGTGGAGTGTAGTGTAGTGTAGCGTAATGTAGTGTAGTGTAGTGTAATTTAGTGTAGTGCAGTGTAGTGGAGTGTAGTGGAGTGTAGTTGTGTAGTTGTAGTTGTATTTGTAGTGTAGTGGAAGGTAGTGTAGTGTAGTGTAATGTAGTGTAGTGTAGTGGAGTGTAGTGGAGTGTAGTGGAGTGTAGTTGTGTAGTTGTAGTTGTATTTGTAGTGTAGTGGAGTGTAGTGTAGTGTAATGTAGTGAAGTGTAGTGGAAGGTAGTGTAGTGTAGTGTAATGTAGTGTAGTGGAGTGTAGTGGAGTGTAGTGGAGTGTAGTGGAGTGTAGTGTAGTGTAGGGTAATGTAGTGTAGTGTAGTGCAGTGAAGCGAAGCGAAGCGACATCTGAAGCTCCAAAAGTGGTCCGAACCCCTAGTGTTTTTAACATTTTGACTTCGAAATGTGGTTCGCGCCACAACCGCGTGCACTTTTTCGACATCTGAACCTCCAAAAGTGGCGCGAGCATGTGGTGTTTTGTACATTTTGACTTGGAAATGTGCTTCGCGCCACAACGGCGTGCACTTTTTCGACATCTCAACTTCCAAAAGTGGTCAGACCATGGTGTGTTTTGTACATTTTGACTTGAAAATGTGCTTCGCGCCACAACGGCGTGCACTTTTTCGACATCGCAACGTCCAAAAGTGGTCCGACCATGTTGTGTTTTGTACATTTTCACTTGGAAATGTGCTTCGCGCCACAACGGCGTGCACTTTTTTGACATCTCAACTTCCAAAAGTGGTCCGAGAATGGTGTTTTTTTTTACAATTTGACTTGGAAATGTGCTTCGCGCCACAACGGCGTGCAATTTTTCATCTCTCACCTGGCCAGCTGCCTCCGCGCCCGCCGCTTTAGCGAGCCTACTTTTCGACCCTCCGGAGCCACAAATCATTGGAAAAACACAGTGAATCGCGACTTTCTTACCTTTTCGCGCATCTGTATTTTCTTTCTTCTGACTCTTTCTCTTCTACTCTTCTCTCTTCTAATCTTTCTCTTCTCTATGCCTCTGCCCTACTCTGCTTTCATCTGTCCATATTGTCGGAAGTTTGACTTCTAAACTTCCTTCAGCCAGATTATACCATATTTTGCGGGATGAATATCCATTCCCAACTATTTTGGCGTTGCGATTCCAGCGTTTTGACAGGCTGACCCCGGCGTGCGAGGTGCAGCGCAGATCGCGACGTTTTTTCCTTGGCTCTGATAGGGATTTTACTTGCAAAGATGAGAAGGTTTCCCCTATTTGAAATATTTGGTGGTTTGGGAATTGTTTCAGATGTTGATTTTTCCTTCAGTTCCCCGTGCGATATAGACATATACAACATTATACAGCATATTACAACATATACTTCGAATAATTGAGCCCCCAAAGGTATAACCGGTTTCCAAAGAACTAAAACAAACCGAGACCACAGTGAGCAATGGAGGCCACCCGGCAAGAGGCTGCAGCCAAGGTAGGGCAAGATGAGATCTCTTGAAGCAGACACAACATCCTTGCCGTAAGTTGATGATAGTTGATTCTGGTTGCCGAAATCCAAGATGCTCGTACATTCGTAGACTATGTTTTTTTGCCATCACACCACCTCTACAGATGTGCCATGCTGTGTTCATTTTCCACGATCCGAAGTTATTGCAGACAACATCCAGGCACTCGGACTCCAAGCTTGTTGCGGTCGCGAGTTCTTGGCAGATTGGAGCAGAATGTATCGACAACGAAGGCCACTTGGCCGAACCTCTCACGTCAGGTCCCACGTTGATATTTGATGTAGGATGATGTGGGTTTGTCAACAGAATACAAGCTGTAATTGCCCAAGATGGTGAATCATTCTCCCTGGCCATAAATCTAGGGTCAATCCCCATCAATCCCCCATTTCCAGAGCCAGTGAGTCATATCAAGTTTGTGATTTAGACCATTATGTTCCCATCATGATATTTATATCATTTTATATCATTATATCCCACTATGATGGTTGAATCCCTACATACCCATGAGAGGGTGGAGTGATGACCCAGTCCTGCTTCGATGCGAGGCTCGCTGACAGGCCATCGAAACTTAAAGGGACCTGCGCTGAACAAGGCCACGACGCCGAAACCGACTCAACGCAAGTTCTCAAAAAGCTTCCTCATTTTGGTCAAAGTCTGATCAGAACCAGTCTATTCATCCATACACACATTGGTATCCAGCATGATTCACCCAAGTTGCTTTCCAAGTCGCTTGAACCTAAATGAGTCTGTTCCACGATTGAGCACTGCAGCAAGGTTTTCTGAAATCCCCAAAGTACCAACAAGATCCAACAAGCTTCTCGACTTCCCACGGAGGTTAGCGTCCACTTCCGCAGATCTGCCTGAAGCGAGGACTGCAAGGCTTGGAGATTTCCAGTGCACAAATCAGTTTGCGAAAGAGGGATTTGATAAAGAACATCTCAAGTTGGGGTATCGTAGAGTCTTGGAACTTTAGCGGCGTGCTTTCCACACTTCAGGTTGTCAACGCTCAACATAGCATTTGCGCGTTTGTGCCGCAAAGTGAATTCCAGTCTGTAGAATTATACGTATATATATATAGATTATAGATAGGTTTCAAGACACTACATTTGCAAACCAAAAACTGAATTCATCCCGCTGCCCTCCAAAGTCTTGGGCCTTGGTGTATGGCAGATTTTAGAATCTGGGAACCACGAACAATGTGCTGGCTCTGGAAAGAGACCCTCATGATTGAGAGGTATGAAGGCAATTTGGGATATTCATCTTATGTTTCTAAGCTGCCAGAATCTTTCGCGTCTTGGAAGTGGTTCATTCCTTGCGACTGTTCAGAGTGTTGCATCTCCGGAAAATTCGCATGTTTCAAGTTTGTGGAAACGTAGCAAGAACCCAAACGGTGTCGGACTATCGGCAGCGAACGTGTATATACACAAACTTCTTATGCAAAGTTGAGGATGCTTGTTGAAGTACCTGGGCAACTGTCATTTTTTCTAAGTTTCAACGTCGGGCTTAAAGTACGTGGCACGTCTTGACTTTGGGGCACATGGCAAGCATGGTGATGGTTAGGATGTCCATTGGTCCATAGGTAGTCGCCATAGGCATTTTGGCTCCTCTCGGCTGACGGAGATAGTGGAGAAAAGTGCGCATTCGATGCAAGCGGTGCAAGAACTCGCGGCCTATGCAAAGAACCATGGGTTGTTTCGAGCTGCATCTGCTTGTGATGTCACATGTAGCCTACTTTCTTTGATGTTCCCGTGTGGGAGCTGCTGTGCTGGTTCCGTTGCCGGATCTTCATCACGGTTCCAATTTTTGAGGAAGGCTCGGGTTTAGCAATATCAGTTGAACTTTGGGGTTGTGGTGGATGTGGCATTGGATGTGGTGTTTGATGTGAAGGCAAATTGTGCTCAAGTTCTTCATTCTTAGTCGTAGTCAAGAGGTTGAAGAAATGGATGTATTTTGTGGCAATTTTGATGAGGGAAATTCATGTGAAGTTTGAACGATGCTTTGTCATTTTCAGCACATTAAGACAACGTGCGCCGCTTTTGGCGTGCTGCTGTATGCACTGCAATCAGTTGGCACACAAGGTCTCTACAGTGGAACTTTTCATCAGCCATTCTTCGAAGTGTCCATCTTGGCAGAAACTTCTGGCGCTGTGTCACTACCTGAACTTGGACTTGGCCATTTTCTCATCATTCTTTGCTTGCATTTTGGGTGCGATCTTCTGGGTTCTACGCGCTGGCAGCTTAAGTGCTGTGGCACAAGAACCTCAAAGCCTTCTGTCTGGCAGTCTGTACTGGTGGCCCATGCTTGCTTTTGTGATGACTTTTTTCTGTGGACATTTGCTGTCCAACAAGTTATTCTGGTTTGACCGGCTCTGCATTGACCAAGAAAACTTGCTACGGAGATGCCAGACATTGAAAGCCGTTCCTGCTTTTGTGGCCCACTCAGAAAGGATGATCATTTTGTTGGATGAGACGTATTTTTCAAGGCTTTGGTGCGTATATGTCCCTTTTGGCTTTGGTTTGGCAGAAGTTTTGCTCTTGGTCGTAAGTTTTCCGATTTGCTTTCTTGGTGGGCTGGGAACCTCTGTCCCCTTGTGCACCTGGCCAGGAATTGGCCGTGCACAGCAAAACAGGCTCGGCCACTGCCGAGCTGATTCCAATGTGGATGCCTCTGTGGACAATTTTTTTCATCAGTTTATCTTTGATGGCATGCGCTCTGGTTGCACTTATATAATATATGGGCAGTGCTCAAAACTCTTGATGATTGGCAATTTTAGGGGGTTATAAAGTAATGAGTTTATTTGGGGGATTCTTATGACCCATTGTGGGAATCCCTACCATCAACCAGTAGAAGGGGATGACAATGATGACAGAGGATTTTGAACTCAACTGGGCTTAATGTAGATTATGGAAGAATTAAGAACCTGAAGGGTGGTCAGATATGGTTGGCACAATGGCCTCGCACTTCAAAACACATGATGTTGAAATGGACTCGTTCTGTGTAGGGGAAAGTCCAACGTCGGGCTTAAAGTACGTGGCACGTCTTGACTTTGGGGCACATGGCAAGCATGGTGATGGTTAGGATGTCCATTGGTCCATAGGTAGTCGCCATAGGCATTTTGGCTCCTCTCGGCTGACGGAGATAGTGGAGAAAAGTGCGCATTCGATGCAAGCGGTGCAAGAACTCGCGGCCTATGCAAAGAACCATGGGTTGTTTCGAGCTGCATCTGCTTGTGATGTCACATGTAGCCTACTTTCTTTGATGTTCCCGTGTGGGAGCTGCTGTGCTGGTTCCGTTGCCGGATCTTCATCACGGTTCCAATTTTTGAGGAAGGCTCGGGTTTAGCAATATCAGTTGAACTTTGGGGTTGTGGTGGATGTGGCATTGGATGTGGTGTTTGATGTGAAGGCAAATTGTGCTCAAGTTCTTCATTCTTAGTCGTAGTCAAGAGGTTGAAGAAATGGATGTATTTTGTGGCAATTTTGATGAGGGAAATTCATGTGAAGTTTGAACGATGCTTTGTCATTTTCAGCACATTAAGACAACGTGCACCGCTTTTGGCGTGCTGCTGTATGCACTGCAATCAGTTGGCACACAAGGTCTCTACAGTGGAACTTTTCATCAGCCATTCTTCGAAGTGTCCATCTTGGCAGAAACTTCTGGCGCTGTGTCACTACCTGAACTTGGACTTGGCCATTTTCTCATCATTCTTTGCTTGCATTTTGGGTGCGATCTTCTGGGTTCTACGCGCTGGCAGCTTAAGTGCTGTGGCACAAGAACCTCAAAGCCTTCTGTCTGGCAGTCTGTACTGGTGGCCCATGCTTGCTTTTGTGATGACTTTTTTCTGTGGACATTTGCTGTCCAACAAGTTATTCTGGTTTGACCGGCTCTGCATTGACCAAGAAAACTTGCTACGGAGATGTCAGACATTGAAAGCCGTTCCTGCTTTTGTGGCCCACTCAGAAAGGATGATCATTTTGTTGGATGAGACGTATTTTTCAAGGCTTTGGTGCGTATATGTCCCTTTTGGCTTTGGTTTGGCAGAAGTTTTGCTCTTGGTCGTAAGTTTTCCGATTTGCTTTCTTGGTGGGCTGGGAACCTCTGTCCCCTTGTGCACCTGGCCAGGAATTGGCCGTGCACAGCAAAACAGGCTCGGCCACTGCCGAGCTGATTCCAATGTGGATGCCTCTGTGGACAATTTTTTTCATCAGTTTATCTTTGATGGCATGCGCTCTGGTTGCACTTATATAATATATGGGCAGTGCTCAAAACTCTTGATGATTGGCAATTTTAGGGGGTTATAAAGTAATGAGTTTATTTGGGGGATTCTTATGACCCATTGTGGGAATCCCTACCATCAACCAGTAGAAGGGGATGACAATGATGACAGAGGATTTTGAACTCAACTGGGCTTAATGTAGATTATGGAAGAATTAAGAACCTGAAGGGTGGTCAGATATGGTTGGCACAATGGCCTCGCACTTCAAAACACATGATGTTGAAATGGACTCGTTCTGTGTAGGGGAAAGTCTTGAAAATGCGAAATACACTCACATGGGGTGACCTTTGATTTCCTCGATCCTGTCGATGAAACCATGTTGTAGTTCTCCAAACTCTTAGGTCTTGGCGATAGTGGTCCCGCAATTCCCCTACCACATCTGAACACAGAATCGATCACCTCCCTCCTTGAGTCCGTCTTCAAAACCAATTTATTTCCGCCTGCGATGTATCTTCTCTATGCAGTCCCTGCTTCTGGGTTTTGTTTCCAGAAGATCAAGCGACACAAGAGGATGCTTGATCAGATGGCAGAGTTTCAACTTGGAAATGCCAAGTGCACTTTGGAGACAGATCGCAGAGTCATCGAGGAGCAGGTGTTGAGTCTGTTTGATGAGGCGCTCGAGCCTCCTGTGAGCATTGCATTTGGTACTGAAGAGGCCGAAGACGACATGGGCGGTTCAGAAACTCTCCTAGCCCCAGAGACCCCAGAGACCATCCGTGAGATCCGACATATCACCAGCTACCCTACGAACGATCAAATCATTGATCAGTTCAATGCGTACGTCCGAGGCCCCCTCCGTGACAGTGTGATTCGGTCCATGGGAAAGGAAGATTACATCTCCTTCAGACTGTGCACGGTTGCAGCGTTACCTTGGATCTTGTGGAACGTGCGTTATGTTTTGGGATGCGGTGCTGATGGTCAGAAATTTGAATCCTCTGATGGCTTCTCTTCTGTCTCGCAGTACTTTGTGTTTGACACAATTTGTTTCTTGATATCACCTTTGGTCCTTTTTGTGGAGTTTCCGTCAATGCTGATTGCCTGCAGATGGGCGACTGACCTCGTGGACCATTGGGGTCTACGCCTGTTCTTGGGCACAGGCCTTTGCGTTGTCGTAATGTATTTCGGAGACCGTTTTATTCTCCTTCAGTGCGGGGTCTTGAAAGTCGCAGTTTCTGATTTCTCACCACTTTGGCTAGCAGCAGCCGTTGTCAGTGTAATTCTTGACCTGGGCCTATTGTGGTTTCTGTTCTTTAGGAAGCAGCTCCATCCCGCCCAGCGAACGCTGGTTCGATAATCTGCACAAGTGCAGCTGGCCTGCTGAACAGTGTATATAGCAGTGTATACAAAAATTGGGTTTCTCTGCAGTTGTTCCTATGAAGGATTGGATCAAGTGATGTGCTAAGTTGAAGCAACAACGTCCGAAGCGTGGCGTGAAAACTGATGAAGCAACTCTCAACAGACGGACACCTACTCTCCAGCTGTTGCGGCTGTTGGTCAGGCTGGCCAGTATTTCAGATGAAGCTGAAAAGCAGCGAAAGAGATGATCAACCTGAAAAGCACCTGTCACCTGATGATCAGCAGAGTTTTCTTATGCAATTTCACTTTGCATACATGTAGATTAAGATGAAGAATTTCTTCACTTGCAGGAGATTCATCCTGGAAGATCCGGCTGGAAGCTGCCGACTCGCCGAAGGCATAGCAAGAAAAGCATATGAAAACATGAGAAGATAAGCTTTGCCATGTGAATATTTTCCAGTGGAGGACTCCATCCACCTTTCGGATCCTTTCGGTCTCCCGGGACAGGTCGAAGTAAAGTAGCTGAACAGAAATGGAAGGAGCTGACCATGTTGCTCCCTACAGGATGTAACTTGAGGACCTGAAGCCTATGGATGGACTGACTCTAGAACTAGAACGTCCCATTCTTGAGAGGTATGAAGGGGATGTTGGAATTTCGATATGGGAAAGGATCAAGACCTGTTTTACAAATTATACCTAATTATACCAGTAGTACCGCACAAGGCGGTGGCGGAAGTTTCAAAAATAGCAAACCTATAGGAGAGGTTGGTTGTTGTGAATCAGGGATGGCAGAGTGAATCCTGATGGAGCGCAAGGTGATTGATCTCTCTCACTCTTTCTCTCTCTTTCTCTGACTATCTACCTACCTGCCTATCTATCTTCTACCTACCTATCTATCTTCTATGTATCTATCTATCTATCGATCTATATCTCTCTCTCTCTCTCTCTTTCATCTAATTACCTATCTATCTATCTATCTGTCTATCTGTCTATCTGTCTATCTGTCTATCTGTCTATCTATCTATCTATCTATCTATCTCTCTCTCTCTTTCATCTGTCTATCTGTCTAGCTGTCTACCTGTCTATCTATCTATCTGTCTATCCGTCTACCTGTCTATCTATGGTGCAGTTTCATTCAGTGTAATGTAGTTTAATGTAGTGTAGTGTAGTGGAGCGTAGTGGAATGTAGTGTAATGTAGTGTAATTTAGTGTAATTTAGTGTAGTGGAGTGTAGTGGAGTGTAGTTGTGTAGTCGTAGGTGTAGTTGTAGTGTAGTGGAATGTAGTGTAGTGTAATGTTTTTGAAGTGTAGTGAAAGGTAGTGTAGTGTAGTGTAATGTACTGTAGTGGAGTGTAGTGTAGTGTAATGTAGTGTAGCGTAGTGTAATTTAGTGTAGGGGAGTGTAGTGGAGTGTAGTGGAGTGTAGTGTAGTTGTAGTTGTAGTTGTAGTTGTAGTGTAGTGGAGTGTAGTGTAGAGTAATGTAGTGGGGTGTAGTGGAAGGTAAAGTAGTGTAGTGTAGCGTAATGTAGTGTAGTGTAGTGGAGTGTAGTGTAGTGTAATGTATTGTAGTGTAGTGTAATTTAGTGTAGTGAAGTGTAGTTCTGTAGTTTTAGTTGTAGTGTTGTGGAGTGTAGTGTAGTGTGATGTAGCCTAGTGTAGTGTAATTTAGTGTAGTGTAGTGTAGTTGTGTAGTTGTAGTTGTATTTGTAGTGTAGTGGAGTGTCGTGTAATGTAGTGAAGTGTAGTGGAAGGTAGTGTAGTGTAGTGTAATGTAGTGTAGTGTAGTGCTGGAGTGTAGTGGAGTGTAGTGGAGTGTAGTTGTGTAGTTGTAGTTGTAATTGTAGTTGTAGTGTAGTGGAGTGTAGTGTAGTGTAATGTAGTGAAGTGTAGTGGAAGGTAGTGTAGTGTAGTGTAATGTAGTGTAGTGGAGTGTAGTGTAGTGTAGCGTAATGTAGTGTAGTGTAGTGTAATTTAGTGTAGTGCAGTGTAGTGGAGTGTAGTGGAGTGTAGTTGTGTAGTTGTAGTTGTATTTGTAGTGTAGTGGAGTGTAGTGTAGTGTAGTGTAATTTAGTGTAGTGGAGTGTAGTGGAGTGTAGTGGAGTGTAGTGGAGTGTAGTTGTGTAGTGGTAGTTGTATTTGTAGTGTAGTGGAGTGTAGTGTAGTGTAATGTAGTGAAGTGTAGTGGAAGGTAGTGTAGTGTAGTGTAATGTAGTGTAGTGTAGTGGAGTGTAGTGTAGTGTAGGGTAATGTAGTGTAGTGTAGTGCAGTGAAGGGAAGCGAAGCGACATCTGAAGCTCCAAAAGTGGTCCGAACCCCTAGTGTTTTTAACATTTTGACTTCGAAATGTGCTTCGCGCCACAACGGCGTGCACTTTTTCGACATCTCAACTTCCAAAAGTGGTCAGACCATGGTGTGTTTTGTACATTTTGACTTGGAAATGTGCTTCGCGCCACAACGGCGTGCACTTTTTCGACATCTCAACTTCCAAAAGTGGTCAGACCATGGTGTGTTTTGTACATTTTGACTTGAAAATGTGCTTCGCGCCACAACGGCGTGCACTTTTTCGACATCGCAACGTCCAAAAGTGGTCCGACCATGGTGAGTTTTGTACATTTTCACTTGGAAATGTGCTTCGCGCCACAACGGCGTGCACTTTTTTGACATCTCAACTTCCAAAAGTGGTCCGAGAATGGTGTTTTTTTTACAATTTGACTTGGAAATGTGCTTCGCGCCACAACGGCGTGCAATTTTTCATCTCTCACCTGGCCAGCTGGCTCCGCGCCCGCCGCTTTAGCGAGCCTACTTTTCGACCTCCGGAGCCACAGATCATTGGAAAAACACAGTGAATCGCGACTTTCTTACCTTTTCGCGCATCTGTATTTTCTTTCTTCTGACTCTTTCTCTTCTACTCTTCTCTCTTCTAATCTTTCTCTTCTCTATGCCTCTGCCCTACTCTGCTTTTTATCTGTCCATATTGTCGGAAGTTTGACTTCTAAACTTCCTTCGATAATGCAATGAAAACATGAGAAGATAAGCTTTGCCATGTGAGTATTTTCCAGTGAAGGACTCCATCCACCTTTCGGATCCTTTCGGTCTCCCGGGACAGGTCGAAGTAAAGTAGCTGAACAAAAATGGAAGGAGCTGACCATGTTGCTCCCTACAGGATGTAACCTGAGGACCTGAAGCCTATGGATGGACTGACTCTAGAACTAGAACGTCCCATTCTTGAGAGGTATGAAGGGGATGTTGGGATTTTGATATGGGAAAGGATCAAGACCTGTTTTACAAATTATACCTAATTATACCAGATTATACCATATTTTGCGGGATGAATATCCATTCCCAACTATTTTGGCGTTACGATTCCAGCGTTTTGACAGGCTGACTCCGGCGTGCGAGGTGCAGCGCAGATCGCGACGTTTTTTCCTTGGCTCTGATAGGGACTTTACTTGCAAAGATGAGAAGGTTTCCCCTATTTGAAATATTTGGTGGTTTGGGAATTGTTTCAGATGTTGATTTTTCCTTCAGTTCCCCGTGCGATATAGACATATACAACATATTACAACATATACTTCGAATAATTGAGCCCCCAAAGGTATAACCGGTTTCCAAAGAACTAAAATAAACCGAGACCACAGTGAGCAATGGAGGCCACCCGGAAAGAGGCTGCAGCCAAGGTAGGGCAAGATGAGATCTCTTGAAGCAGACAGAAAATCCTTGCCGTAAGTTGATGATAGTTGATTCTGGTTGCCGAAATCCAAACCAGATGCTCGTACATTCGTAGACTATGTTTTTTTTGCCATCACACCACCTCTACAGATGTGCCATGCTGTGTTCATTTTCCACGATCCGAAGTTATTGCAGACAACATCCAGGCACTCGGACTCCAAGCTTGTTGCGGTCGCGAGTTCTTGGCAGATTGGAGCAGAATGTATCGACAACGAAGGCCACTTGGCCGAACCTCTCACGTCAGGTCCCACGTTGATATTTGATGTAGGATGATGTGGGTTTGTCAACAGAATACAAGCTGTAATTGCCTAAGATGGTGAATCATTCTCCCTGTCAGGCCATAAATCTAGGGTCAATTCCCCTTTCCAGGGCCAATGAGTCATATCAAGTTTGTGATTTAGACCATTGTGTTCCCATCATGACATTTGTGTCATTTTATATCATGATATTCCATTATGATGGTTGAATCCCTACATACCCATGAATGAGAACCAACAAGCTTCTCGATTTCCCACGGAGGTTAGCGTCCACTTTCGCAGATCTGCCTGAAGCGAGGACTGCAAGGCTTGGAGATTTCCAGTGCACAAATCAGTTTGCGAAAGAGGGATTTGATAAAGAACATCTCAAGTTGGGGTATCGTAGAGTCTTTGAACTTTAGCGGCGTGCTTTCCACACTTCAGGTTGTCAACGCTCAACATAGCATTTGCGCGTTTGTGCCGCAAAGTGAATTCCATTCACCTTAGGAAGGTTTCTAAGCTGCCAGAATCTTCCGGGTCTTGGAAATGGTTCATTCCTTGCGTTTGTTCAGAGTGTTGCATCTCCGGAAAATTCGCATGTTTCAAGTTTGTTGAAACGTAGCCGAACGTGTATATAGACAAACTTCTTATGCAAAGTTGAGGATGCTTGTTGAAGTTCCTGGGCAACTGTCATTTTTTCTAAGTTTCAACGTCGGGCTTAAAGTATGTGGCACGTCTTGACTTTGGGGCACATGGCAAGCATGGTGATGGTTAGGATGTCCATAGGTAGTCGCCATAGGCATTTTGGCTCCCCTCCGGGGACAGAGATAGTGGAGAAAAGTGCGCATTCGATGCAAGCGGTGCAAGAACTCGCGGCCTATGCAAAGAACCATGGGTTGTTTCGAGCTGCATCTGCTTGTGATGTCACATGTAGCCTACTTTCTTTGATGTTCCCGTGTGGGAGCTGCTGTGCTGGTTCCATTGCAGGATCTTCATCACGGTTTCAATTTTTAAGGAAGGCTCGGGTTTGGCAAAATCAGTTGAACTTTGGGGTTGTGGTGGATGTGGCATCAGATGTGGTGTTTGACGTGAAGGCAAATTGTGCTCAAGTTCTTCATTCTTAGTCTTAGTCAAGAGGTTGAAGAAATGGATGTATTTTGTTGCAATTTTGATGAGGGAAATTCATGTGAAGTTTGAACGATGCTTTGTCATCTTCAGCAAATCAAGACAACGGGCACCGCTTTTGCCGTGCTGTAAGCACTGCAATCAGTTGGCACAGGTCTCTACAGTGGAACTTTTCATCAGCCATTCCTCGAAGTGTCCATCTTGGCAGAAACTTCTGGCGCTGTGTCACTACCTGAACTTGGACTTGGCCATTTTCTCATCATTCCTTGCTTGCATTTTGGGTATGATCTTCTGGGTTCTACGCGCTGGCAGCTTAAGTGCTGTGGCACAAGAACCTCAAAGCCTTCGGTTTGGCAGTCTGTACTGGTGGCCCATGCTTGCTTTTGTGATGACTTTTTTCTGTGGACATTTGCTGTCCAACAAGTTATTCTGGTTTGACCGGCTCTGCATTGACCAAGAAAACTTGCTACGGAGATGTCAGGCATTGAAAGCCGTTCCTGCTTTTGTGGCGCAGTCAGAAAGGATGATCATTTTTTTGGATGAGACGTATTTTTCAAGGCTTTGGTGCATATATGTCCCTTTTGGCTTTGGTTTGGCAGAAGTTTTGCTCTTGGTCGTAAGTTTTCCGATTTGCTTTCTTGGTGGGCTGGGAACCTCTGTCCCCTTGTGCAGCTAGCCAGGAATTGGCCGTGCACAGCAAAACAGGCTCGGCCACTGCCGAGCTGATTCCAATGTGGATGCCTCTGTGGACGATTTTTTTCATCAGTTTCTCTTCGATGGCATGTGCTCTGGTTGCACTTAATACATGGGCAGTGCTCAAGACTCTTGGTGATTGGCAATTTTGGGGGGTTATAAAGTAATGATCTTATTTGGGGGATTCTTATGACCCATTGTGGGAATCCCTATCATCAACCAGTAGAAGGGGATGACAGAGGACTTTGAACTCAACTGGGCTGAATGTAGGTTACGGAAGAATTAAGAACCTGAAGGGCGGTCAGATATGGTCGGCACAGTGGCCTCGCACTTCAAAACACATGATGTTGAAATGGACTCGTTCTGTAAGAGGGAAGGTACAGGACATGTGCTGAAAATGTGATATACGCTCACGTGGGGTGACCTTTGAATTCTTCGATAGTGTCGATGAAGCCATGTTGTAATTCTCCAAACCTCGTACTCGTACCGGCTGAACTTCCAAAACCTCAATGGTCGGTCCATTTTGAGAGTACCGGCTTTTACGTACTTTTTATCAAAACAACGGTTCCCCTGTAAAACCCCCGTCTTTTTCCAATAAACCTTCATTTTTTGTGTGTGTGTGTGGAACATCTGAATAGATGTAAAACTTCTAACTCGCTTGCTATGGTTTGGAAACTTTGCTTTGATTCTTGACTTTTTGATTTTGAACATTGTCACAGCAGGGGGCCAGGAACCCATCACTGTCTGTCCTGGCCAACGAAGACCAGACAGTATGGGGGTGAAAACGTACCTGCTTTTTCCTCGTGATGGGACGTGGCTAACCCAAGAACCACCATGCCGTTTCAAAACAACCTGATTTCCATTTTCTCGTTTTGCACGGTTTTCGCAATCTGAATTTTCATTGTCAATTGAAGATGAACGCGCTGCATCAGAACAAGTTATTCCTTCGAGCAAGGACGTAGAAAGATGTACTTCGCACAGTTTTTCACTCCTGATCATCCAATGTCTCCTGTCAGGTTTAACTGAAGTGTTTTTGCACGTGTGATGCATTCCACATCAGTAATTCGATAAGATGTTTCTGAGCAAGTGTGTCTCTCCTGCTGCATACGTCAAGTTGGCAGGAACACCTCGGGGAAAGCCTTTCTAGGCGAACAATGGACAGTAAAACGACCTCTGAATTTACACTTTTGACTTAGTAATTCGTCTAAGTAATGTGAACTGCCGGCCTTTTTTCGATTCTCACCTGTCGAAGTCGTTTGGTTGAACTACTGCCCGCCGTGCCTGGGAACCACCTTTTTTCTGATTTACCATTTGCTGCATAGCCTGAAGCTGCGACAACATCCGTTTTTCACTACTGCCCAAGAGAGTACGGAGCTCAACACTTCAACATTACAAGTGACCATGTGAAGGCTTCAGGACATTCCTGCAGGTGTGGTGATTTTTTTCTTTTATGGTCGTTGGTGAGGTTCAATTGTGCACGTAATTCAGGGGTTGAACACGTAAGCGGTCCAGAGGGTTGTGAAATGAATGCCGAGGGCCTCTGAGCCTTATCACGAATTCTGCATGCATCGTGTCATGTTTTAATTTTGGATTTCTACCAAACCTGACTCTTGGTGCCATGTTCCCTGGCCGCTGGCCAAATTATCCGGAGTCCATGTGGAACTACGGCTGGTCAGCTCCATCGTTTTCGTCACCTCAACCAGCAGTGCCTCCTGGACAATTTTGCGGAAGTGATATGATGAGCCAACAGTCACAAGCTCAGTCTCAAGCTCAGACTCAGGCGCAACTTGCTCATCTCAGGGAGCAAAATTCCATTTTGAATCAACAACTTGCGTCACAAGCTCAAACCCATATCCAACATCTCCAACAACTACTTCCATTCCACCACTCCACTTCACATCCACCTCAGTCTACACCCACAGCACCGGAATCACCAACACCGGTTGCAACTCAATCTACACCACCTGGACCCAGCGCATCCTTCAGCGCAGAAGAGATGATGCAGCAGATGAAGAATACGGTCGAATCAAGCATGCAGGCCCTTGTGGACAAGAACCAAGAGCGCAACATGAGCCATCCTCCAACTCCAGCACGACCACCAATCCCGGTCTCTCCACCCATTCCAAGTCATCCTCTTCCATCAGATGAAGTTCTACCACCACCACAACACTCCTATCGTCGCTCTCGTTCTCGCTCCCATCGGCATCGTTGGGCACCGGACAAACGTCCAATCTCTGTTCCACGAAGTCCACGTCGAGGAAAATCGCCCAGACGAACACATCGTTCCTCTCGGCCACGTTCGTCACACAGAAGACGACGTTCCACTTCTAGGAACTTCTCAAGACGCCCAAGCAGAGCTACGTCGGTCACATTGCGCTCAGCCTCTCCACGTCGACGAGAAGTACCACATGACAGAGATGATGATCATGTACGAGATGAACCCAGCCACAGACCAGCCACTCTTCATCCTGCAACGTGGGAACATCAACACTACCATCAAGATCAATCTTCCCACAATGATGATTTCCAGTACAACTACCAATCCTACGACCAACCCTCCACAAACAAGTGGAAATCCTGGAGCCAATGGAAGGACTATCCCAAGACTCCGTATCAAACCCATCCATCGGGTTGGATCGATTACCCCAAAGCGTCCTCCAGACACCACAGTCATTATGACTCTTCCACCAAACCTTCCACCAAACCACTCACTGCATTCTCTTCCGACCACAACTCCAACCGCTCACGCCAACCTCCACACAGATCAGGCTCAGTCCAATCTCGTGTCTCTACTACTGCCGTTCCTCCAGGACATGTTGCCATCAATCTTCAAGATGGCTCGAGAGATGAATGGGCTCGACATATCAAGCATGCCTTGAATCATCCAGAGAGGATGCGTGCAGCCAATGAACTCACAGCTGCCGAACGTCCCCAGCCGACTACCTCCATTCAACAAGGAGAATACGATGTGGCTATGGAACAACTTCACCAGGTCGATCCCAGAATTCCAGGTGATGTACTCAAAAAAGCGGTCCAACTTTTCTTCAGCACCAAGTCCAACCTCCTTCCGGACTACGATCTTTCCACCTGCCATGTCCGTGAACTTCGCCATACCAACATGCTTGCACTAGTCATGCCGTTGCCAGACATCAGTCGCTTCGAAATGCCACCTCCCTTTGGCAAACAACACAATCATACCTGGGCACTTTGTCACGGCACGACAATCAAAACCGCTCAACTAATCCTCTTGGAGGGCAAGATCAGACCTGCAAACTGGTCTTACCACAAAAATCCACAGAGGTGCCACTTACCAACCATTCTTCATTGGCAGAGAAGTCTCCAATGCTGACAAAACGATCCCAGCCTGGGCAGAAACGGACCTCCTTGATTCCATGGAGAAAAGGGGCAAGGGCCAACAGGATGTCACCGTTGGCGCGATGTATCGAGGATCCGAAGAGCACATCGCTTTCAAAGCTGGAGGCAACGAAAAAGCTCAACTTGGTGTGGGTGACAAAGGCATAGTCAACACGTCCGAGAAATACACGATTGCGCACAGCAACCACGTGGGCTTACAATTCATAGCTCTGAAATGGGCTGACCTCAAAGGTCCCAGGAGAATCGACATTGGTGACACGACCTCAGATGACTGTAACTACCGCAGCAATGAGGAACGATACTCAGACCGTCGTCGAGGCTGACCACTTAGTCTTACTCAGACTGCTTCTTGTATTATTAGCGACATTCGGCCTAAACAGGATTCCGAATCTACTTTCTAGGAATTTCCTGGACAAACGCTCTGGACCAAAATGCACGGTTGCTTCTTTTTATTGCCAAGTTGCAGGAATCGCTCTTGCCTCTTCCAGTCGTGTGATCTGGAGAAAGAATCTATGGTAAATCAGCATACGGCCGGTTCCACGCATCAGCGGAACGGCCACACTCCGGCAGGCTATGGGCAAAACGTGCGAAAACCATAAGGGTCTCACGTGACACCCATGGCCGAGCCCCTCTAATTGTTCCGTAAGGGAACTGTACACCGGACCAACTACATTTTCTGGCCAAAAAAGTGGCAGAATTGGGAAAAAGCTGAATCTTCTGTTTCTTGACGACACGCATGAAATGTCTGATCCAATTGACCACATTGATGAAGCGACCGCTGAACCCTTTGATCACCTCAGGAGGAGGAGATTTCACTCTCAACCAGAAATAAATACCCAGTTCATATACTGAGACAAAGGTATCTTCAGCACGCCTCCATTGCAAAGTTTGGAAAAAATTCAGAGTTTCAATCCACATCGCATCAGAGTAGCCCCAATCTCTGGGACGGCACGGGGCGTTCTCCATATTCCAATCATAAAGAATTTCAGCATGATGCCAATCCCATTTTGGAAAACGATTGATATAGTCGATTTCATCTCTCGCGTCCACATTGTCAACCACATGGTCAGCATTTGCCAGTCCATGTTGACGGTTATCATCTTGATTTACATACTGCAAGAGCTTTGACAGCCGACACAGCCACGATTGTTGAATAGCAGTGTGTTGCATCCAAGATTTCACCAGTGCCGGCGGCACCGGCATAGCAGTCTTGGCTACCTGAGTAGCCTCATCTTTCGCCAATTTCCACAGCCCAGAAAAAATCTCTTTGTTGGCATCTTCAACCTCATTGATTGAAAAAACATTTAATCTACAAGACCGACCCTGTCCGATGAGGTGGAAAATCTCACTTTTGCTTCAATGCACGGTTGCTTCAATCTGGATTCGTTCTCCTGTTGCCTTTCTTTTTTCTTTTTTGCCTCTTCCTTTTGTTTCTTGGTTCTTTTCTTCTGGAATTTCTTGCTGGAAAGGATGAAGTCATTCAGGATGTGCTTTTCGCTGTAATTTTTACTACTTCCACGGCAGTCTGTTTCATGTCTTTGATGTCGATCTAATCCTAATGAATTGCAGTCAGTTTTGTTCAGCGACCAAAAAGACATCATCCGGCGCACTCATGGCGGAGTCGGACCGATCCAGATCTCCAGTGCCTGGACGCAACCGAGCTGAACCGGGCGCTCCTGCTCAACCAGTACGACAAGAACTGCCGTTCTTTCCTCGATGGTGTGGGCCCATGCAAACGGCGATTTGGCAATCGCAACTCATGTCAAGGCCTCAGTCTCGACCTCAGTTCCGTCCTCAGTTCAACATGCCACAGCCGGGACCTTATTTTCGAAATCCGTCCATGAGTCAGAACTCAGCTACGCAGTCGGGCACATGGCCCAATCCACGATTTCCACCGGCACCTCCATCGTCTCCTCCACCCATTCTGGCATATCCATTTCCAACTCGTCCATCAACTCCACCTTGCTCACCTACCTTGCCATGTCCACCTACTCAAGCGGCATCACCCAGCACTCCATCCATTCCTTCGTCCCAACCTCGTCAAGCTGGTACACGAACTCACCAGGAGGTCATACAGCGGTTGATGGCAGCCGCACATATGGATTTGACCCCAATCCTCATTGGCAAGAGGATAAAGACCACTACGACAATCAGAAGATCAACGGCTTGACCTTCCCTCGGTGCATTCGTCAATCAGCCTTCACGCAAAAGCTGGACATTGCAGGATGCGATCCTCTGAAACTACCGGTGGCAGCCCTGTTGTATCAACAGGCGAACAACTTCTGGCTTCGGAAGCTGGCTCATGGGCGTGAACTCTACTTGATTCCGACTGGTGACATCGCAGCTGTTGTATTCATGACGGAGCTCTTGACTCAACTCCGCAACAAGGGAGTAGACATGGACAAGGTCTCCTCTTGCAAAGCCAGACAGGATGGGAAGCTTCTGGACAAGACCAACAACACCAAGTATGCGGCACAACAAATCGCTGACCTCATCCATAGCTGGGTTCCTACCCGTACAGCAGATCCTGACACCCAGCACGAGCTTACTCAACTCCGAAGCCAACTGGCACAGCTGCGCCAGCAACTTGGAGAAACAACGGGTGAACCATCCACCCCGAACACCACGGGTCCTTCAGCTTCAAGTCCTGCGTCAGCACCCATCCATGCAGCTCTTCTTCGAAATTCTCAAAGCCCAGCACCTCCAGCACCACCTGGCTTCGACCCTTCCTCTTTGTTGGTCGCCACCACCACCGTCAATTCGTGGCTTGCTCAAAATATGCCACCATCTCTCGCAGTCCGAGCTTTCAACAAATGGTTGAAAGAACTCAACTTATCGGAACCAAAGAAGAAAGTTCTGCACGACAACTTTGCCAAAATGGAGGAGTGGTGGGAAAAGCAGCCGGCAGAAGCTTTGGACACCATCGAACGAGTTGCTGCCATGATGGGCATCCCTGTCAACCTCATGGGAAAGAACTATGAAGCACTAAACCTCCTCCGAGCCATGACAGCAGGCATCAGTCTCACCAATTGACTAGCACCTCTCTTGCGTTGAAAACTCAAGCACAAGGTGCTTCAATCCCATTTGCACATTCTTCACTCGATGATTCTCGTCATTTACATTTTGACTCCCTGCGCCATGACTCACAGCATCCACCTTTTTCAAGGCTTTCGCATCATCCAAACACGTATGATGGTGCTGGCAATCCTCCACGGTCTTCGACCCAATCCTAAGCTGAAGTCAATTTTGGAAGGGTGTGCTGACCTTCAACACCTGTGGGGCACTACTCTACACTCCCACAACCTTTTTTCCAGACAATTTTTCCAGCCTCAGAGCGTCTACATCCGTTTCACCCAAATCACCAACATGCAACCCAAATTTTATTTGGGTTCTGCAATGCATCACACTCTCGACAGAGAGTACAGCCGCTCCAGAAAATACTTCCAACTCACGAACGAGAGACTGGTTCCAAGCCGAACTGGCACTCCGCTACTGGCATGACCATGACAATCTGTACATTTGGGCTCCGATCCCAATCTACACAGACAGAGTTGATTATCGTAGCCTTGAAATGGCCCTCATTCAAGAATGGCAACCTCGACTCAATTTTCCCTTCATTTGTCAATTCTACCACCCAAAGAAGGGCCTTCTCAAAAAACCCCTTCTGAATACCAATGCGCAATTCGGCCTTGCCACCCTCTGGCGTCGTGCCAAACACAAATTCACTCCACAACTGGTTCGCCAAGTCTTGACGTCATCACGGTTTCAAAACCGTTTAGAACTCTGGACTATCATCCATGCCTTAGGATCAAATACTAAGGCGAGATTCGAACAAACGAAGATGCTACGATCCAACGATGGGGGTCTCACCCTCTGCAATGCTCTTCGTCGGCTGGCAAACAACACCAGGAGCCTTTTCGAACGCTGTCCTTGACCGCCATCGATGCCTCAATCAAATGGTGGCACGGAAAACCAGCCCCTAGGGCATCCGCTTTACGGGCACCATGGTCCCTTCCCCCAAATCTTCAATCACAATTGAAGAAATTCTTGCGTCAATGGCATTTCCAAATGTTGGACCACCAAGTGCCTTGCCACACTCCTTCCTTCAAGATGGTGTTCATCAAGCACGCTGCCGTCCTCGACATACTTTGCAACCACAAGCAAGCCATCGAGGACTGGTCGACTTCCAATCCAGCAATCTGTTGTTGCAAATCCTGGTCACCTTACAAAAGTGCTGCACTCAATCCTTCTGATCCACACTGGGTCCTATCAGGCTCTCTTCTCCACTCTTTACTTCCACCGGAGCTTGCAGTGATCGCAGAAGGTTCTTTGTCCAACAAAGTCTTCCCGTCAAAGAAGGAATATCACAACCAGATGCGACTTGGCTTCAAGACCTGGACGAAGAGAAATGGCTTACCTTCCATGCCACACACAAACATTTCGGACCTCTGCCATCACCTCTGGTCCGAACACACTCAACAGATCACCAACCACATCACAAAGTCCTCCATCAACCAACTTCAGTCCACATTTGACGGTGCCATCTTCCATTGTGAGGACAAACATGCCTCTTCACTCAGAATCTACTGTCCATGTCTTTATTACCAATCCATCGAAAGTACTTTTCAAGACCCATCAATTTTCGAACAACTACCAGACGAACCATCCTCCATTGTGTCCTCACTTGTTGAATCCCTCCATCGCCAACATGGCAAAGCCTATCCCTGGGCAGTGGGCTCTGGCCGTCAACTCCCGTCAGGATACATTCTGGCAAAACGAAAGAAAGAATTTCGTAGCGGTCGACCCATCATCTCCTTCGTGGAATCTCCATTTCGACCCATGCTCAATATCCTTGCCAGACTCATTTTTCAACTCATTCCAGCCGCCTGTCCCAACCACTTCGCCACAGGGGACGTCTACACCTTACTGTCCATTCTGCGATCAGCACCTGTAGATGCCGATCTGATTCTGGTCAACCAAGATTTGGCAGGCTTCTTCACCAGTATTGACCAAGACCGATTTGTCCGATCCTGGTTCATGCTCCTGGACTTTCTTCGTCCAAAAATGAACGTTTCTGATGATGAAGCCTTCTCGGTCTATCCAGGAAAATCCAACAATCCGGGTGACATGATCAAAGGACGCACCTTCCGTCGTCTCAATGTCACTCGCAAGATTGTCATCAAAGATGTCCCAGAATTGATCAGGTCAGCATTGAATATGCAGACCTTCGCCCTGGGCCAAAGATGTGTCCGTCAAAGCAGAGGAAGCCCCTTGGGCAGCCCTCTCTCAGCGGCTCTCTGCCTTATGGTCGTTTCCATCAGTGAACAAATTTGGTCCAGTACCTTCCACCAACTCCTCTCCAATCATCATTTGTTCATTCGACACATCCGATATGTTGACAATCGTCTCATATTCGGTGACAAGCGCCTCACTGCACTTGCACCATACGAAGTCCTCCTGGACGAAGGCTTCTACGGAAAACCCATCATTCTCGAGACGGAACCTGACCAAGAATTCCTTGGTTTCATGCTCGAAACGAAACCTCTGGAGCTGATTTACCAGGGACCGACCAATGTCTCTCAAGTCCTTTCACCCTTTTCAGCTTCCCCTCCAAAAGTCCTCCTCAGTGGTTTCCGCTCACGCTGCCACATCGTCATCAACGGTGCCTTCCCTGCTTTTCGTGTTCAACAAGGTCTGACCCAATTAATTCATTTGTACACTCGTGCTGGTTTTCCCAAGGAGGAACTCCGGACAATCTCTGACCAACTTTTGATTCAGCATCAGAACAATCAATCGCAGGGCCAAAGGTGGGCTTCCCGCTTGCTTGTCCTGTTTTCCTTGTGGGGTTTCTTGTTTTTTGTTTTCGGGCCTCCTTTTGCTCTCCTTTCGTTTCCTCTTGGTTTTGGTTGTTGCTTTCCTGTTTTTGTTTTCTTGGCAGCTTCTTGGCTCAACCACCGCTTTTACCTTCTTTCTCGCTGTGTTGTTCCCTCTGATGGATCACGCTCAGGGTCGTGCTTTTCATCACCACCTGGCTCGGGCCATTATGCACCTAAACCACTTGGCGGGGCTTCTCCCCTTTTTCGAGCCCTCCATTGAATGGGAAGATTCCATGCCTCCTTCACACTTTCGCCTGGACCGCTCGACATCAAGAGGCCTCCGCACCTTTGTTCCTTTACCTCCATCGTCACTGTCACCAACAATGGTAACACACGGGGGCATCCCGTCACACATGGTGGTAAATCCTGAACCAAACCTTCGTCCCACCACTATGTGCCCTCCATCTTACATGGAAGGAGACCATACGTCAACCACACCTGTGGATGGACGCAATCCAGTTCTCATGACGGATCCAGGCCCTGATCCTACTCCGGGCAATCCATCAAGCACTGAACCGGGTCGTGGCAAACCTCGGACCACAATTCCAGTCCCAGTTCGATCCAAGCAAAGGGTCTCTTCAACTGTTGACCCACAACCGAAGAAGAGACAAAAAGTGTCGACCCTGCCAGAAACTCCACTGTCAATGGCTACGGGAGGGGTCAACCCTGGACCACTTCCCATCACATCAGAGGTCATTTCCGGAGGCCTCAACTCAGATGACTCTGATGGTGACGCAGCATCAGTAGCTGCTTCCGCCCACGACACGGAAGTCAACTACGGCCACCGTGGCGACACAACGTCACACGTCACCTCCACCATTCCTCCAGGCACCTCCACACTCACATTGACACCAAACCCCAAGGCACCAGCCTCTCCCACCTTCCGGATCCTTCAGCCAAATCCAGCTGATCCACCTCGTGATCCACCATTCCGTCCATAGACCAACGCAGATGATCAAGAGCTGATCAGTATGAAACAGGACACAAAGTCCCGTCCCTCGTGGAAGACGATCGGTGCCAGACTTCATCGCGATCCCCAGGTATGTAAACTGAGATGGGGAATCCTGAAGCAAACGCCGGGAGTCATTGACCAACACGGTCGCGTCAACCCACCCCTCGAACCAGAGGCGGAGGATTAACCAATATCACAGACATGTCAATGCTGAAAAAGTGCATCACGGCCCGCTGTCAAATTTGACATGTTATTGTCATCCGTTGGTTTTCCTTTCTTCCTTCTTTTTCTGGTACTTCTTTCTTGGTTTGGTTTCTTTTTTGTCTCTTCGAATACTCCTCAGCAAATATGGCTCATTCATCTACTTACGTACGAACCGTTCCTGAACGCTCTCGTTCGCGGGACGACCCCATGTGGCAATCTCGCCACTCACAACAACGTGGTCGACAATATGATCCAAGACCTGCAGTACCTCCTGCACCTCGCCTTCGGAAAGTACTTGTGATTGTGGATCTTCAATCAGTACGTCCACTCATGAACAAAGCCCATGATGACGTCATGGATGCCACGACCTGCGATGTGTTACCTTCCCTCAGCAGGGTGGAAGAAAGAGCCCTGTTCACCTACAATGTATTACTCAATACCCACCGTCTTGAACCATTCGCGGTGTACAACCTTCTATACTGCATCAGCCAGCACATCTGGTACACCTGGGATCGCTACCTACCCCCGTCCTCCATGGACATCATGCAGGTGGCAAGACGATACTGGAGACACTTTCGCTCTCCGCAATGAAGACCGACTTGTTGACCTACTTCATGAATATCGTCCTCATTGGACTGAAGGCCAAGAATTCGGCATTTCATTTCCCAATGACATCCGACACTTTACGTCTCACTTTCAGCCTTATATCATGCGCCCGAGCTGCCATGAAGCCCTTCCCAACCGCAACATGCTTTCATGAGACGGACATAAAAAGGTCCTTGTGCATTTGCTTTTCCTTTGGCTTTTGTTTCCCCTCTTCCCCTGTGTTTTCGGTTTCTTGTCCTTTATGTACCCTTTTCAGCCCTTGGCTCCAGCTGTATCATGACCAAACGTGATTCCCTGCTTGCCGGTTTCACGTACCCTTCAACGTCGATGAGCATGCCACGTCGTCACTCTCGAACTCATGGATATCCCAGTAGCACTGCCGCACCTTCTGATTCACTCAATCCTTCTCGCAGTGTCACTGATTCCACTGAGTCTACTGCTTGGCCTTCTCTCCGACATGCAGGATCCAGTGATCAAACCTCCCACTACGGGTACTCGACAGCAGCTACGTCAACACCCATTCCAGCTCCTGCCGATCATCAGACTCCGATCCTCCAAGAAGTGAAGAAGCTTATCCACTTCAGATGGAAATGGCAGAGACTCGTCGTCAACTTCATGCCCATTACTTCACCGAAGTTCGAACACCTCAAGCTGACAACTCCCAACCAGAGCTTCGCCGCCTTATGGTGACGGAAGTGGATCGGTATGGGGTACATCGAAACAGGCAACCGGAGTTCTTCTTCAATGGGATCATTGGTCACATCCGTGCTGATCAAAACGGGTGGATCGACTCTTGGGACCAAGCCACCCAACTAGCCAACTACTGGCGTCGGCATTTCCAAATTCCCGAAGTGCCCCCTGATGGAAATTGGCATCAATATCCGCAAGAGTCCAGCAGTGCGAACCAAGCGGGAGAAAGCCAAGAATCCCTGCCGGGATCAGATATGGAAGACACGGATTCCCTCGTTGTCTATGCAGCATCCGCATCGGCACCAAGTCAGATCCACCAGCTGGCCACCATCTTGTGGAACATTCTCAACAATGACCGAGGGGCCAACTTGGCCATTCTCGAGAAATTGTAGAACCCAGCAAACGATCCGATTCAGGTCTTTTCGGCAGCAGACTTGGCCCACCTTGCTAGCCACTTGGCACAGACCACTCGCGACTTGTCACATCAAGCTCAACAAATGGAGGCGCTCTCCGACATCAGCGATTGAGTCTGACTACTCCGGGCTGAAGGTGTTCTGAGCAACTGGGATAATTCAGCTGCAGGCTTCTTCCCTGTATTTTGATCTTGCGTTAACCGCTACATCCTGCCTCAGAGTCCAGATCAGACCTTCACTACCAATCTCGCAGTTGCCAAAAAACAGCCTCGCGGCAGCGAGGCGTGTGTGTGGAACATCTGAATAGATGTAAAACTTCTAACTCGCTTGCTATGGTTTGGAAACTTTGCTTTGATTCTTGACTTTTTGATTTTGAACATTGTCACAGCAGGGGGCCAGGAACCCATCACTGTCTGTCTGGTCTTCGTGCTTTTTCCTCGTGATGGGACGTGGCTAACCCAAGAACCACCATGCCGTTTCAAAACAACCTGATTTCCATTTTCTCGTTTTGCACGGTTTTCGCAATCTGAATTTTCATTGTCAATTGAAGATGAACGCGCTGCATCAGAACAAGTTATTCCTTTGAGCAAGGACGTAGAAAGATGTACTTCGCACAGTTTTTCACTCCTGATCATCCAATGTCTCCTGTCAGGTTTAACTGAAGTGTTTTTGCACGTGTGACGCATTCCACATCAGTAATTCGATAAGATGTTTCTGAGCAAGTGTGCGCACTTGCCTTGCCAAGCCTGTGAGGTCATATACTGATTTGCTTAGTTTGCTGACACAGCCACTGACGATGCAATGAAATGAAAATCAAAGATCAAGACAAGTAACCAACAACCCATGCCAGCTGATATCAATAAAAAGGTATATAGGGTCAGGGCTCAGGGTTTGCGCAGAAAGCGGCTGCTATTGGAACTTGAAAACCAATGTGGATTCGAACTTTGGATCTTAGTGGGAAAATGCAATCGTTTATTGCTATTCAACCCTTTTTGTTTCGAAGCTGGGAAATGACAATTTGGACATCCAGTGTGCGATTTTTTCAAAATTTGTTAATTTCTATGCCCCTGGGATGGTGAAAACATGGGGACCCTGACTTTATCCCGTACTTATCCCATATTTATCCCGTACTAAACCAGTATTTTGAAAAAATTGGCAAAACCCCGTCTTAAAAAAACCCGTAATTAACCCGTAAAAAACCCGTAGTTAATCCGTGGAAACCCGTAAAAAATATGTTTTTTTGGGTCAGGTCCATAGGGCTGCCATCTTGGGTTTTTAGGCCCACACATTGCGTGGACAAATTTCATGAGAAAACGGGTCGCTTGCTCATCGTGAAATAACTTTTGCAAATACACAATTCAAGTTGTTGCGTATGCTCCTGGTATGCAAAACTTGACATTGTTTGTCGGAACATTTTAGTCGAACGAAAGTTGTAGGGCATGCATTTGAGAAATGTAGGAAACAAATCCCAACAAAGTCCCTAGCCCAGCACGGCACCAGACACTGGCAGCATGTTGCTAACTACATTGTTGAATTTTGAGCATCAAAGGCAAGACTTCATCTAAAATTGGTAAATTCAAAAAAACGGGTTTTTGGATAAAACCCTGCCTTTTTCTGATGTACCTGCCTTTTAGCGGTTTCGGTTTCCCTTGGTAGGTCTTTACAATCTCGAATTTGGCAACACTGTCGCAGATACCTCGCTACAACTGGACACAGAATCGATCACCTCCCTCTTTGTGTCCGCCTTCAAATTCAATTTTTATTCGCCTGCGATGTATCTTCTCTATGCAGTCCCTACTTCTTGGTTTTGTTTCCAGAAGATCAAGCGACACAAGAGGATGCTTGATCAGATGGCAGACTTTCAACTTGGAAATGCCAAGTGCACTTTGGAGACAGATCGCAGAGTCATCGAAGAGCAAGTATTGAGTCTGTTTGATGAGGCGCTCGAGCCTCCAGTGAGCATTGCATTTGGTACTGAAGAGGCCGAAGACGACATGGGCGGTTCAGAAACTCTCCTAGCCCCTGAGGCCCCAGAGACCATCCGTGAGATCCGACATATCACCAGCTACCCTACGAACGATCAAATCATTGATCAGTTCAATGCGTACGTCCGAGGCCCCCTCCGTGACAGTGTGATTCGGTCCATGGGAAAGGAAGATTACCTCTCCTTCAGACTGTGCACGGTTGCAGGGTTACCTTGGATCTTGTGGAATGTGCCCTATCTTCTGGGATGCGGTGCTGATTGTAGACAATCAGCATCCTCTGATGGCTTCTCTACTGTCTCGCAGTACTTTGTGTTTGATGTAATCTATTACTTCTATATATCACCTTTGAATATGTTTTTGGAATTTCCGACAATGCTAATTGCTTGCAGATGGGTAACTGACCTCGTGGAGCATTCGGGTCTACGCCTGTTCTTGGGCACAGGCCTTTGCATTGTCGTAATGTATTTTGGAGACTGCTTTCTTCTTCTTCAGTGCGGGGTCTTGGCAGTCGCAGTTACCGATTTTTCACCACTTTGGCTAGCAGCAGCCGTTGTCAGTGTAATTCTGGACCTGGGCCTGTTGTGGTTTCTGTTCTTTAGGAAGCAGCTCCATCCCGGCCAGCGAACGCTGGTTCGATAATTTGCACAGCTGGCCTGCTGGAAAGTGTAAAATTGGGTTTGCCTGCAGTTGTTCCTATGAAGGATTGGATCAAGGTCAGGTTCCCCCAAAATTGGGCGGTTTTTCTGTTTGTCTCATAGCAGTGATGTGCTAAGTTGAAGCAAAAATGTCCCAAGCGTGGTGGGAAAACTGATGAAACAACTCTCAACATTGTTGTGTTGTTTGGTTGGTCTTCCGACAACATAAAGTTTTCATCACTGGGACTGAAAAGTCTTGTTTTGTGCGTTGGCACTGGGTCTCAAGAATCAGGGTCAAATCAACCAGTCAAACCTTGAGGTTCTCAAACTTTGGCGCCTAACTCTTGTTGGTGTACCTGGTGCACACTAATTTCTAGGCCCTGCAATTATGAAACTCTATATGATTGACAATTGCGTGTCATTCTCGAATTTGTGCACCGACTTCGGGGCTCATCTCGGGACACTTGGCCATGGAAGGACATCCTGGACGATCCCATGGAGCGATTCTAAGGTGCACTGCCGAAGGCTTTTCGCAGCATGCTGGATCTGACAATTTCCAGGTAAAAAGAGATTTAAATTAAACGGATGTTGGATTCTAGTGATGGTTTGAATGGAAGTATCTTCAGGACTGAACGGTCTAAACGGACACGTCATACAGAATTCTGTCTGGCCCATTTCCGTCGGTTGAATTCTGGGGATCCAGTAATGCGGATCACGTGGAGTGTTTCTGGACAGGACAGGACGAAGATATGAGCCAAAGCTGGTGAAGAAATGTGGCTTTTCGACGCCAACATACGAAGGGCAAATATATGGGGTTTGTCTGAACAGGGGTTGGTAACTGTCCCATTTTGGGTATATTGGACATCACCTTATAATAGCCATTATAGACCATATACCTAATGCTTGGGTGATGTTCAATGGGGACATTTACTGACCCATGCTGAACATGGAGTCCCAATGAACCCATGGCTTATCACGGTTTTCTCATCATTTTCTCCATGAAATGGCCAGGATTTCACCGCAGCAAGGCGAGCGATTGGAGTCCAATCAGTGCAGAGATGTGTGGAGACTCTGTAGGTTTGGTACCTGAAAATCATGCGCGGATCATGCGGAAACACTGAAACTCACCTTTTCTGAATCATTTTGACGCGACCTTTGCAGCAAGCAGTTGAGTCCCGAGGGTGGTGAGGTATTGAGCTCTACAGAGTATTCCAAGACGTGCAGCCACAAGCACTCAAGAGGGGTGCAATGATGCCGCCAAAATCCTTCGGCCTTAAAGTGTCGCCCAGTTCGGTGTTGAAGAATCTGCTACAGCACTACCCCAGTGGCGGCCAGTCATTCAGCTGGAATATATGGACGACGGATCTAGACGAGAGAGCTTAACTCAGGAGATGAACTTTCCAAATTGGATTTATTTTGCTTATCCTAGCCATGCTGACCGTGGTAGAAGGATTCCAAACCACAGATGTACAGCGGTTGTGTATTGTTTCCGTTCATGGGAAAGCATGCTGCAATGGCTCCTCAAACAAACAAACAAACAAGCAGACAAAGAGAGAAACAGACAACCAAACAATTGTAATATCCAAACAACCAAGCAACCAACTGACCAAAAAACCAACACCAATTGGTAAAACTCTGTGCTTACCCAGCGCAGCGCTTGATTTGACATCACTCACACCCCTTTTCACTACCTCCATCTCTTCGCTGCGTGTCTCTAACTTCCGCACCTGGCCGGCACCTGGCCTGCACAAGCCCGCTCATTGATTTTGATGGATGGCAGTTCTTGTTTGATTAGCACTTTTGTCTCGTTCATTCTGAATTTCTTCTTCTTCTTCTTCTTCTTGCTCTTGCTCTTGGTCTCCTATCAAGTCCATCCCATCTTTTTGCCTAGCATTTCAACCGTGAGCGAGCATTGCATCATCGACACACAGAATACCGTGGTAATAATCTAAGACAGTCTTTTCCAGCCCGAAGCATCCAAAAGCACATTGCACTGCTCAGGTTCATATCAGAAGCTTTACAGAATGCCGAAGATACGAACAGGTCCACCCACTTTTGTGCTGCTTTGGATTTGCAACAGCATCCAGAACAAAGGATCAGACAAGATTTCCAGCCTTGGCGAGGGCGATTGCAAGGCCCTGGGTTCCTCTTCTACGACAACGGTGGATTTTTTGACCGGGATTGGAGCAGTCTAGAAAGGATCTACGACAGTGAGAAGAAGCATTCGCCGAGTGAAGTGGGGAAATATGGAATGGGTTCACGCTCCTTCTTTCACATTGGCGATGTCATTCAAATCGTTTCAGGGTCTACCTATGCTGTCCTGGATCCTGATGAGAGGGTGTCCAAAAAGGGCGACTTTGGTGCAAGCCTGGATTTTGTGAAAGACAGATTCGATGGCAAAAGATTCTTGGATGCTTACCCCGATGAGTGCGCTCCTTTTCGTGGTATGTTTGGGTGTACCATGGAAAGCTCGTTCAAAGGAACAATCATCCGGGTCACTTGGCGTTAAGGCAGTTTGTTGAGACAATCTACATTGCCATACAAAGATGTCCAGCAATGGCTGTCCATCCCAATGATGACTTGACCACCGTGTGATGCCCGACCCTCGGAGTCCACAAGAAAAGCCTCGCACAGATAGTCACATAGCCTCCCAAGCCCAAATTTTTGGGAGCCCAAATAGCAGCGTTTGAAAGGTTCCTCTTCGGCTTGCATGGGCAGAAGAGTCCACTTTCATGCCTACGGCCTTTTCAACGGAAAGGGCAAAGAAGGTGTTCCAGGACCTGCGGTCAGTTTTTTCTTCGAATGGGGTAATGTCATGCCTTGGTAGGGTGTGAGGTTCGGCACAACGGCAAGACACTTAAGCAGGCAGAAGAAAGTGTACCATACTCATGGGCCAAACTTTGTTGGCTACCTTTTGAATCCTTTTTGACGAGCTGATCAAGAGCTTGATCAATTCTATCTGAGGGCTGCTCATTCTTCAATGATATTGGCGGGGGAATAAGAGTAAGACCTGGATGTGAGTAGATCATGACTCCATGGCAATCTTGGAGATTGTTTCGAAGAGGACTTTGAAAATCAGCTGGCCGGGGGCCACATGGCACTGTTCCTACCTCGCCTCCAAAACATTGAACTGCACATGAGGGAGCCGGGAGGAAACTTGGAGTGCAAGGTGTCCATTGTCAAGGACAAAAAGCAGACTGGTCTATTGGATGTTAAGAACTACCTGACGAAGTTTGATACGACTGAACAGCTGCAGGCAAAGTGATTATCTGAACGATCTCTGAAAGTTTTTTTTTGCTGGTTATCACTGGTTTCATTCGGTTTGGTTCCAAAAACAGCAGCAATACATAGCAATACTGCGTGGGCTGTGTCCATGTTTGCTTGCCAAACCTTGAGCTTCCGAGTTTCGCAGTGCCTGAACAGGAAGTGCCCTTGTCAACAGTCTTTGATCACATGTGCCACAGGAAGCACTGAAGATGGACATCAGCTCGGCCCCGAGGGTGGGTGAGGTTGTGAGGCTCACATGTGTCGTGAATGCATGTTTTTGTGCAGAGTTTGGACGATGCAATTCCATGCAACTGGACGTCGTTGGCAGTGGATGTCACTAATGCTGAGCAGTGAACACACACTTTCTGCATTTTGAAACAGGATGACGTTGAAGTGCGGTTCCGGAGAGGAGAAGAAAACTTGGATGCGAATCGGCCGTTTCTTCCATTGCAAATCTTCGAAGAAGTCTTTGAAGAAACTTCCTGAAGAGGTGCCATTCGTTTGTTTGGCGATACCACTGGATGAGCCATGCAAAGGCTTGGCATTTGCGCACTTGCCATTGCCATTGGAAACAGGACTCTCAGATTTGTTTGTAAAGAGTGGCTCCTCTTGAAGGCCGCCTGAACTTGATTAGAAACAGGGTCACCTCGAAGCCTCGAAGTTGTGGGTTGTATGTTCATGTGGTTGTATGGTTAATTATGGTTTTATGATCCTTGTTTGACTTGAATCACAACACAGGACTTCCTGTCCACCTACATGCCGGCTTCGCCTTGCACGACAATCGACGGGAGATTTGGCATCGTGCAGCTGATTGGGACGGTCAGCACGAGACGTGGGCAGATTGGAATGATTACATCCTCCAAGATGTGGCGCCGCACGTCTATGCTGATGCTCTGAAAACTCTCCAGGCAGGGGATGTGCGAACGCGACTTCCAGACCTCGCTATCTGCTAATTGGGTAGGTCAATGGCATGGAATGGAAAACATAGGGGCTTCCCAACCTATGGAGCGAAAGGGAAACTGAGAAAGCGCCGATTTTTTTTGGGGACACCCACATCGGCTCAGATCACTGTTCCGCAACATGGCCGGGTCAGGCATCACTTCCCTTGGAAAAATGGTTTGGCCTGTGGCCCCGTCCAGACCAGACAACGGAAGACTTCAAGGTGCGGCCCCCAAAGATGGACAGAGATGCATACTGGGCGCAGCTTCAATTGGAAACATGTGCATTTTCAATCATCCGGATTTGAAGATAGTACATGATACATGGGAAATCATGGGTGTACAGCCCGGTGATGGCAAATTTATGGCAATGGCAATCTTGATGGGGAAAGGATTTTCTAACCCATCCCATTTTACGGCCAGGTTCATGTTTCAAGCTGATGGCAGACGATTCGCCAGGCACTGGTGGCAAAATTGGTCAACTTGCTCGCTGCTGAAGCAATCCTTCGAACCGCCTCGGGAGAAAAGGTGGCACCACGGGAAGCCAAACTCCTCAATCTGCCAACTGGTCCGTTGGAGAAATGCCGCGAAGACTTGGAAATGCAGTGTTTGAAGGCTGGAATGAAGCCTGCCCTCAGCAACAAGTACAGGTATTTGTGTGGCTTCCTGTAACCTTGAGAGTCTTCATTTTTCACAGAGCTGTGTATTTGTGTGCGTAATTGTGCGTACATGTAAATGCTGTGTCTACAGGGTGTGTTGGGTTGAGCGTGACCGTAGCTGATTTGTCCCTCATCAAGAAGGCTTGTACCAGAGGCAGTTTCTGCCAAAGTTCGTGCCAATTTTTGTTTTGGTAGGGTTCTGGAGATGTGTTTGCGTATTTGTTGAGGTGTGAGTGCATGGGAATTTGATGTGATTGCCACATTGTGATGTGACGCAATCCAATGTATGCAATGCGGTTGAGTTCCCCGTATCCACAACAGTTAGGGTATCGCAAGGTGATGTTATGTGACGGGATGGGACTGGCTGTGGTGCAATGCTCTGTGTCCTGTGCTGTTGTGTGATGCTAGGTGATGTATTGTTTTGGCCTACATGGTGTGTCCTGCAAAGCAATCTAGCATAACGCACATTTATCTGGTTTTGTGCGACTTGTCTGTATATGCATTATAATTATAGTTATATATCGAATGTTATAATATATATATATATATTTAATATAAATATTCGACATTGTTTCCGTGGATTGTTGCAATTCTATTTAGCCTGTCCGTGTGAATGCACATGCCTCTTGTAGGTGGTAGCATGTGTATTACTGTATGCTTCTTGCATTGTACTCCGTTCTGTCTATTTGTCTATCTGCCTACCTGGCTGTCTGTCTGTGTCTGTCTGTCTGGCTGGCTGCCCGTGTGTATGTATGCACACGTATGACGTATAAACATGTGAATATATCACACCTTCTGTTGCAAAATTACTACGCGTTCTCTATGTGACAGCAGCTCACTGTACAGGCATGGTATGTGTGTATGTCTTTATTTCCGTCTGTAGGTCCAGTATTTGCGTGTATGTGTACCTTCACCTAGACCTGCGCGTTCCAATGAGTAAGCAGATGGGACTCAGGAAGATCGTGAACCTTCCAGACCATGTGGCAAGGCTGCTCACAGAGCATAAGGCTATTGAGGAGAAGGACTGCGGCCTAGCCATCAAATCGAACCTGCGCCATCGAGGTGTGCATTTGTACCTTACCATGGGATTCTTGTGTCAATGTCACATTTCTAGGTTTCACTGCAGACATTTTCCATTGGCCTGCGGACTGGCTGTTGTTATAGCGGCGAAGTGTTTTTTGGCCCTTGTGATTGCGGCCAGCCATGGGTCATGTTTCGACGCCAGGAAGCTTTCAGTGCCATCAAAGAGGCGGTCATCGAAAGGTGGGCGTCTGATGACCATCACGACTGTACTTTGATTTCATCAATTTGAGTCGTTGCAATTGCCGTGCTTGAGTTTTTACGTTGTGTTTGCGTGTGTTTGTACAAAGAGGCGTAGCCGCTTTCTTTTGTGTTGCTCTGATTCAGCGCTAATTGTGATTCTTGGTTTGTCTTTGTCTGCATTCTGCCGGGTCTCTGCTCGAGACTTGCATGTTCTCTGTTTATTTCTTTGCATGATAGATCTATTTTTGGTATCTTCCTACCTTCTGCTACCTCGAACCTTCATCTGCTTCTGCCTTTTCCACAGTGACTCTACTGGTCTCCGTGTGGTGAATTGAACTATAATCTCCATGTACCCACCACTGCTAACTGGTACATGATTCAACCCCCGACTTGTTCTACTGTCAAGTCACTTGATTCCTGTTTGCTGTGCCAGGGAGTGCAACAAGCAACTCCGGCAGCGTATTTTGCTGGCGCTGATGCACTGGGCCGATGGCTCTTTCACCAGACAGCGGATGAATGACCTCGCAAGCTTGCTGAAGGACACGAAATGGATCCACACTGTTGGTGGATCGTACCTTACTTAGCATTGCATTGTGTCATTTTCATTTTCCTGAAGAACGTATCTGCACTTGACTGTGTGGTGAGGTACACATTTTCAGTCGAGCAGAAAAATGCCTCCCCGCCCTGAACAGACCGATCGAGGTGTCTTGCTATCTCTGAAACCTTCGATCCTGCTGCAAAGCTGCCAGAGCTTGATGTGGTCCGACGTGCCCTGTCCATGATTGGGGGGCGCAGGGGTTTTGAGGCTGCAAAAGTTTGTATATCCAGGAATTATAGCGCAAGACATTGCAATTAGGCTGGACTATGCAAGGCCATATTGTTTTCATGATGTCCAGCTCATGCGTCCAACCCGCAACTGTTTAAGTTTCCATTCCTGTCAGAGACGCAGTGGCCCGGCTTGCGATGTTTTCATTTCAGGATGCACAGCAGATCTGTCGGAGGCTCTGAAGCTTCAGTTCAAATGTGAAGAAGTTGCTCGGTGGATGAAGTCTGTGGTCAGGTTCTATAGTCAGCATTCGTAAGTAATTCTCTGGCCATTGATGGAAAACTGGCTGGTGAGACAGAACTTTGGGGTGCAGCTGGAGTTATGTATCAACGAATTTATCACTGGGTACAAACCGGCCCATAACACCATAAGTTGGGACATGATATAACCCCTCTAGCTATGGTTGTACAACACTTAGTTACTTAGTTCACTGGAACTGCACCTCCAAAAGCGAGCAGACGTTTTCCAAGTGTTTTCAGAGTATCTCAGGTCACCGCTGTTTGGAAAGCTTTGCGGCAGTGTGGTTTGAAGCAACAGATAACTTGGGAAGATGCGATGGCGGAGGCTCGCCACATTGAGAGCACACACAACCAAAAACTCTCAAAGATTTTGTTCGGTCACTTGGAGGCTGTACCGGCCATGGCTGGAGACAAGTCACATTGCTTAAAAATCTTGCACCAGTTGGAGTGGGTGGTGGTCCACATACCTCCAAGTACGGCAAACAAGAAGCCAACTGAATCTGGAAGTACGTTGGCATCACTGAGAAATGTGTTCCCTGCCGGCGAGTCGAAGTTTGTGTGGGCCGTTGAGAGCACACTCAATGAGGATGGAGCTCTGCTGAAAGCCGGGAGATCTGTCCAGAGAGAGCCCAAGGTTCTTGTTTCCCAACTGGAAGCACTTGCTCGAGCAGCGCCTGCGTATTCAAATTGTGCTAGGCCTCGGAATCCTTTTTGGAGCATGCTTGAGCCACCCCCCGTGCGTGAAGCTGGTCCAGATGCATTTCGTCACATCAGGCTAGTGTTGGAGGAATTGGCTCAGCGGCACAAGGACTCCGCTGAGCAGCTTCTTCAAAGACTTAGCAGTTTGGCATATGTGCCTTGCCAGGGAGCCAAAGCAGGATCCGGAGCATTGCTCTTCAGACCAAAATATGCTGCCCACACGTCAGCCCAAGGCCATCAGAAACTGTTGCCGGCCTTTGGAGTCGTCCACCCGCTAGTTCATCAGTTCGCATGCGCGACAGGTGCACCAAATCATCCAGATGCCGAAGCTTTGGTGGATGCCATCCCATGCTGGGATTCGGAACTGGCAGTTGCCCTTTGCTCAGAGCTGGCTGAGCATCCAGGTGTGCAAGCAGGATTTCCGGAGTACCTCAAAAGACTGAAGCTACCAACCAACAGCGGAAAGTTCTGCCCGCTTGAAACTGTCTACATCAATGATGCACAGTGGAAAGGAGCTGGTGGCGTTCAAACCTTAGACGACCGCATCTCGCATGACCATGGGCGGAAGTTGGGCTGCAAATCTGTCCGGGAGAGGTTGAAGCAAGAGTGCGAGGATGGGGCAGAAGATGAAGATGCTTTTGGACAAGAAGCTGACCTAGTTGACCAGGCAGGGTTTGTGAAAGCATTTCCTCTTGAGATACACGCCTACGCCGCAAGTGCGTGCTCTTCCGTCAGCAAGTTCGGTGTCAAAGTGTGCTGAGTGTTCGCGACGTGCCGAAATTCATTTCTTGCCTCGCAACATGCACACTGCGCGCTTTGTCTTGGCACCTCACTCAAAGGCCCATCATTTACCTGTAGCAAAGTTGAACTGTGACCTGTGACAGATTTTGATTGCACCCAGTTTCAACGTACGGTTTGCAGTCAAATGTTCCAAATTTCCACCAAAGGGTTGGTCGTGGATATTTATGCTCTGACGCGAGCGGCCATAGATTCTGCCTGGTGTCCTGTTATGCAAATGCAAATTTCGTTTCTCAAGATGCACCACAAACGCACATCTACGCGCCTATGTACTAGATGATCTTTCAGCCAAATATACCTTTCGGTCAACAGACAGCATATCCTCGGAGTTAGGGCGTGCATTGTTTTGTCTTGCGTCAAAGCTATATAAGTGGTTTTGTTTCTTTGAAGAACTTGGCCATGCATTCTTTGGGGTTCCATGATATCATTGGGACGTATTTGCGGGCCTAAACTTGACTAGTTTCCAAGAATGGCGCTTCTCCTACATTTACATTGATTTCATGCAACCACTGCGGCCATAGTCATGATACTTGGAATTTGCTTCGATTGCAGGTGAAACTCATTTTGCGAGACTACAGTGGCAAGAGTGATGTGGTCGCTGAGTTTGTGCAGAACACCGATGACTTCGGTGCAACGGAACTTACATTTGAGCTAAGCAACCAGAAGTTTGACAAGGAACGGGTTGTGGATTCACGTTGCACAGCCCTGCAAGGGCCTGCCCTTTACATTTTGTCCAACAAAGAGCTGCATGAAGAGGATATCAAAAACATGCAAAGGGTTGGCAGATCTGCGAAGGGCTTTGACTTTGCAAGCACTGGCCGATTTGGGGTTGGCATGAATGTCATGTACAGATACAGCGATTGCCCTCAACTTTTTGCCAATGGCCGCTTGCATTTCTTTGACTTGACAAGGGAGTTTGTGGCCAAACACAACGAGAAACGTGGCAAGCAGTTCAAGCAGGAAAAGTTGGAGGAGATGTTTCCAGACAGTGTCCAACCATTCCGATCCTACACAGCTCAATATCCTGTGGTGTTCAGGCTGCCTCTGCGCACAAGACGATCTGAACTTGGCGAAAAGGTGGACTTAGCTTCGGTGGAGAATGACTTACGCGACGTCTCTGCCCAAGCATTCTCAATGTTGCTTTTTGCCAAGTGGCTCAAGAAGATCCGCTTTCAATGTCCGCAGGGCCCCCTAGCAGAGCACAGTGTACACATTGACGACAAAGTGCAGGCCCGACAGCATCAGGAGTTTTTTGCTTCTCTACCAGCTGAGCTCGGCCAAGTCGGAAAAAGCCAAGACAAAGACATCTGCGTCACCAAGCGGATCAGCAGCAAGTCTTTCAAGCCATCGCCAACGACTTCCCATCGCACGTGGGTTGTAGCTTACACGCTGGCCTTCTCACAGGGAACTTTGCGTAGGCTCTGCATCGACCACTTCAACTCAGCTTTGGGCGGTGCCTTGTTGCCACTGGGAGCAGCCGCTGCACCTTTGGACAATGAGAAGTCCGAGGGAAGGATGCTCAGACTACAACACCTATATAAAAACATGAACTCACATTTTCTGGTAAAACAAGGTGCAACCATGTTTTGCTTGAGCTGTCACACGCGCGTATGGCATTAGTACTGTAGTTTAATTATGAATTCATGTGAGGGGCACGAAGTTCGCATTTTTCTTTCTGGCTTTGAATCAAGAGGTCGTAGCAGTCCCAGTAGCTCGCTGTGGTGGAAGCCTACTCAGGATTTGCTGTGGCTTGCCAACTCCCTTGCGAAGTGGAAGCAGATGTTGGATAAGCGCGCACTTCATTCTGCAATCCTCCCGATGCATGCTGCGAATTGCATCTATTTTCTTTGATCTTTCCATGATCTTTTGATGCCGTGGCCACCTTGGGCTGGGATTTTGATCACGGATTATTTTAGATGTGGCCACTGTTCCCTATGTTTTTTTTGGGTATTTCTGGCTTCATCTGTTCTTTAAGGAAAGCAGCTATTGCTGCCTGAAAACACCTCCGAAGAGAAGCAGCAGGAGACGGGGGAGTGGTATGTTTTTGCGGAAAAGTTGTCAAGGTGGCACAGCATCACAGCGGTTTCAAGATAGTTGCAATAGATTATAGATCTATTGCCTGCAAGGAGCGACAGTGGAATCTGCAGCTCATTCAGTACCCAGCTGCAGTGAGCTTGAAAACAGTTCTGTTGAAATGTCGAGTATCGGTCCGTTCAAGGCAGGATGTGGAAGCTTGACGTCATGTGAAAACCGTAGAGTTTTGATTGGTCGCTTTCTCGGCAAAGTTTTGGGTTCTGAAAGCTGGTAAGTGCCACCACTTGGAAGTCAAAAGCCACGCGTTGTTTGTCAAAGGAAGTTGGGAAGCAATACTTCCGTGTTACGGACAAATAGAATTCTGAGACTTGAAATGATGAAGGGTGGTGCGCGACTGAGACTTGACCTTGATGAAGGGTGGTGTGAGACTTTACACTACCTAGCAATACATCACAAAAGAATTGGCTTTGATGAAGGGTGGTGTGAGACTTTACATTGCATAACAATACATCAGAAAAGAATTGACTTTGATGAAGGGTGGTGCGAGACTTTACATTACATAACAATACATCACAAAAGGATTGACCTTGATGAAGGGTGGTGTGAGAGTTTACATTACATAACAATACATCAGAAAAGAATTGACCTTGATGAAGGGTGATGTGAGACTTTACATTACACAACAATACATCAGAAAAGAATTGACTTTGATGAAGGGTGGTGTGAGACTTTACATTTCATAACAATACATCAGAAAAGAACTGTACATCACATAGAATAGGAAGCTATGAAACAGGGTGGTGACGAAGGGAGGTGGTGACGATGGGAAGTGGTGAGGAAGGGAAGTGGTGACGAAGGGAAGTGGTGACAGAGGGAAGTGGTGACGAAGGGAAGTGTTGATGACGGGAAGTGGTGACGACGTTCTTGAAGCTGTGTGCGTAGTTCTATGTGTTTCTTGAATCTGTGGTGGCAGATTGCAGTGGAATGGCTGCATGAATGTTGCATGGGCTTTGTTTTGTGGAGGAAGCCGGAGCACGAAACCTTGTGTTTTTCCGTGTAAAGTGGCTGCAGCCGACGATGAAAGGTACTTCGTCTGCGCGGCGGGTGCGGCTGCGGTCGGTTTGCCTTTTTTTCTTGCTGCACTGTAACGGTGGCTTCAAGCTGCTTTGGGTGTGCTTGTGTGTGCGTAGTTATAGGGTGTTTTGGAATCTGTGGTTGCAGATCGCATTGGAATGGCTGCATGACTGTTGCCATCTGGTGTTGTTATGTGTGTAGATAGGTGCAGGTTTGCGACGTCATACTGCGAAACGCATTGTAATGATTGCATGAATGTTGCATGGGCTTTGTTTTGGGGAGGAAGCCGGAGCACGAAACCTTGTGTTTTTCCGTGTAAAGTGGCTGCAGCCGGCGATGAAAGGTACCTCGTCTGTGCGGCGGGTGCGGCAGCAGTCGGTTTGCCTTTTTTTCTTGCTGCACTGTAACGGTGGCTTCAAGCTGCTTTGGGTGTGCTTGTGTGTGCGCAGTCATAGGGTGTTTTGGACTCTGCGGTTGCAGATCGCATTGGAATGGCTGCATGACTGTTGTCATCTGGTGTTGTTATGTGTGTAGATAGGTGCAGGTTTGCGACGGCATGCTGCGAAACGCAGTGTAATGGTTGCATAAATGTTGCATGGGCTTTGTTTTGGGGAGGAAGCCGGAGCACGAAACCTTGTGTTTTTCCGTGTAAAGTGGCTGCAGCCGACGATGAAAGGTACCTCGTCTGTGCGGCGGGTGCGGCTGCGGTCGGTTTGCCTTTTTTCTTGTCGCACTGTAACGGTGCCTTCAAGCTGCTTTGGGCGTGCTTGTGTGTGCGTAGTCATAGGGTGTTTTGGAATCTGTGGTTGCAGATCGCATTGGAATGGCTGCATGACTGTTGTCATCTGGTGTTGTTATGTGTGTAGATAGGTGCAGGTTTGCGACGGCATGCTGCGAAACGCATTGCAATGGCTGCATGAGTGTTGCATGGGCCTTGTTTTGGGGAGGAAGCCGGAGCACGAAACCTCGTGTTTTTCCGTGTAAAGTGGCTGCAGCCGACGATGAAAGGTACCTCGTCTGTGCGGCGGGTGCGGCTGCGGTCGGTTTGCCTTTTTTTTTTGCCGCACTGTAACGGTGCCTTCAAGCTGCTTTGGGTGTGCTTGTGTGTGTGCGTAGTTATAGGGTGTTTTGGAATCTGTGGTTGCAGATCGCATTGGAATGGCTGCATGACTGTTGTCACCTGGTGTTGTTATGTGTTTAGATAGGTGCAGGTTTGCGACGTGATCTGCGAAACAAACGCATTGTAATGGCTGCATGAATGTTGCATGGGCTTTCTAATGCTGCATTGGTGCTGCGGCTGCATGCGTGATACTTTTGTCTTTTGCAGCTGAAGATCGTAAATCGTATTGGAGTGGCTGCATCCAGGCTGCCATAGTGATTTGTCAGCAGATTTTCGCAATCTTGGCGCTAGTAATTTTTTTTTCAATGCTTTTAAGAAGTGCTTCAGGTTTGGCGCCGAGATCCGGTTTTGGAGCTGCTATCTCCGACGCTGTTGCATGTAGTTCTCTTGTGTTTTGCAACTCAGTCTCTGCAGATTGCATTGTAGTGGCTGCCTCAAGGTTGCTTGGTGCAGCGGCTGCATGCGTAATACTATTGTCTTTTGCAGCTGAAGATCGTAAATCGTATTGGAGTGGCTGCATCCAGACCGCGATAGTGATTTGTCAGCAGATTTTCGCAATTTTGGCGCGGCGCTAGCAATTTTCCCTTTAAAATTCCTTTTAAAAAGTGTTTCAAAATCGTCTTTTCGTCGCTTTGGCGTCGAGATCCGGTTTTGGAGCTGCAATTTCCGACGCCATTGCGCATAGTTCTTGTGTGTTTTGCAACTCAGTCTCTGCAGATCGCATTGTAGTGGCTGCGTCAAGGTTGCTTGGTGCAGCGGCTGCATGCGTAATACTATTGTCTTTTGCAGCTGGGCTTCGTAAATCATATTGGAGTGGCTGCATCCAGGCTGCGACAGTGACTTGTCAGCAGATTTTCTTCATTTTGGCTCTAGTAATTTTCCTTTTAAAAATCCTTTTAAAAAGTGCTTCAAAATCGTCTTTTTTTCGCTTTGGCGTCGAGATATCCGGTTTTCGAGCTGCAATTTCCGACGCCGTTGCGCGTAGTTCTATTGTGTTTTGCAACTCGGTCTTTGCAGATCGCATTGTACTGACTGTGTCAAGGTTGCTTCTTGCCGCTACTTTTGTCTTTTGCAGCTGGACTTCGTAAATCGTATTGGGGTGGGTGCATCAAGGCTGCGACAGTGATTAGTAGTAGTACTGGGAAGTGATTCATGAAAGCTTAGGTGATATTTGAGAAGAGATGCGATGAGAAGAGATGAGCTGGGATAAGGTGAGAAGAGCTCAGATGAGATGAAGTGTGGAGTGTGAAGAGTGCAGTGTGAAGTGTGGGGCGTGAAGAGTGCAGTGTGAAGTGTGATGAAGTGTGAAGTTTGGAGTGTGAAGGAAGCAGTGAGAAGTGAGAAGTGTGAAGTGTGGACTGTGAAGTGTGGAGTATGAAGTGTGAAGTTTGGAGTGCGAAGAGTGCAGTGTGAAGTGTGAAGTGTGGAGTGTGAAGTGTGGAGTGTGAAGTGTGAAGTGTGGAGTCTTGAGAGTACAGCGTGAAGTGAAGTGTTGACTGCGAAGGGTGCAGTGTGAAGAGTGCAGTGTGAAGTGTGGAGTGTGAAGTGTGTAGTGTGGAGTGTGAAGACTGCAGTGAGACTTGCGAAGTGCGAAGTGGAGCTTCAAATGTGACATGTGAAACAAGACACCAGTTTCGCAGAGTGCACGCACGCACGGGCTTGGCTGGCGCACGGCGCATGCAAGTTCTATAGATGAGCAAGGTCTTATAGTATATCCCTAAGGCAACTTCCGCCCTGCCTCGTGCGGGTACTACTGGTATATTCTTGTTCATCTTCTTTGCTTCATGGGCCGGGTATGAACAAGCAGCAAGGACACCTTCTTCCAGTTGATTCCGTGTCAGCAAGCGCAGCCACTGGAAGCTGAGTTGGCAGTTTCCACCCTTTGGGCAGCTCGTGAGGATGCCATTTTCCCTGTGCTCTCCAGCAGAGATTCTGAGGAGTTTATGGTCGACTGGGTGCCTGGGCCAAGGCCATTGCTGCGGACGGCAGATCTTTCTGACAAGTTGCAAGATCAGTTGGCTTTCGATGGCCTCCAAGTGGCATCTCTGCCAGGTGATGCTTTCGAAGTGTATCGGCAGGTGCTTGAAATGCTTGAAATGGAAGAGCCGCGGAAGTTGGACGCGACGGAGCTGTGTGACTTTTTGGCAGAGACTTGGGCAGGCCTGCGTCGTTCCGTTTTTGAGATTGTGGCATTGGAGAATACCGGAATGACTGTGCTGTCGGATCCCAAATCAGTGCTGAAACTGTTGCAGTTTGTCATGCCCCGGAGCGATCCTTTGGCAACGCATCGGTGTGAACACCTGGAAGGGGTTCCATTGTTGTTGACCCATGGAAATGACCTTTGCGGGTTTGGAGAGGAGAATGTCCGGTTCAACACTGATTACGCCCTTCTTCCAAACCATCGAAGCCTTTTCATACATAGGGATGCATGGAAAGTCTTCACCGGCGCTTGTGGTAATGTCAAGCCGATTGGTGTTCGTCAGCTCGAATTAGATGATTTACTACCGTACAGGAGCGAAGTAGAAACTTTGGCCTTAGTAGAGCCTGCCTTTGACAAGAGCAGCTACTTGCGTCACCTGTGGAACTTCATGTCCAACAGATCTCAGGGCTGCAATCCATTTCATGTTATGGAGTCATGGCGCATTCTTCCGGTTCGAAGCCATGGTTCAGGCAACCGAGTTGTACCCCTGGACTTTGCAACCCAGACCGTTGCTCTTGCAGAGAACCAGCAGAAGATTGAAATGGCTTTGCTACATGCTGGGCTTTTCTTGCTGCAAAGTGGGGTTTTGAGCTCACAGAAACCTTTCCTGAAATCCAAGGTGGTGCAAAGCGACAGGGATGTGATCATGTTGCTGGTTGCACAGAAAGATCATTTGGTGAACCTGACTGAGACAGATAGACATGACCTGCTGAGTCACTTCTCGTTGCTTGTCATCTCAGAGTCATCGCAGGTGCCTGCTCATGACATCAGGAAGTTGCCGCTTTTCAAACTTGCGAGTGGAGGCTTCACAGACCTTTGCCGGGAACATGTTGTGCATTGTTGCCTACATCCAAACGACAAACATGCGCACGCACTGGAACAATTGATGCCTTCGAATGCAGTGCTGTTGTCCTACCCTACCAAGTCAACGAAGCCAATCTATGAGTTTTTGGGCATCCAGCTGTGCAACGGTGAAGACTTCATGGTGCAGTTCATCATCCCCGAGTTGCCCAAAGTCTGCGCAGACAGCACGAAGGCTGCGCCCTACCTGGACGAGTTGCGTGAGTTTGTCGTTGTCGAAAAATCTCAGAAAGTCACTGAGGCCGCAAAGGCGACAGCGTTTGTCCCAAACGTCGAAGGACGTTTGAAAATGGCCCAGTCTTTGATCCATCCATCAAAAGGCCCCGTGGCTCAGCTGTTTGCAAACTGCTTGTCTGCGGACTTGCCAGCCGACTGGCTTCACGAACCTCGCTATTTGGCTGTGCTTTCAAGGTTGGGATTGAAGCTGTCTATCCCGGCACCTTTGCTGCTCAAGTGCGCACAAGAGCTGCATTCACACCGGAGACTTGGCTGTTGGAGTGTTGAGGTGTCAAAAAGAAAAATCCCATCAACACAACTAACCGCTGCTAAATAGTGGTCGTTAGGGAGTGGAAGGCAACATCCAGCAGCAAAATGCCTTGTTAGCAAGGGTTTGCGCCTGAGGACCAGCATCAGCATGACAGAGGATTTGCGTGAGAAATCCTTCCATCTCGTTGAAACTTTGGCACATCAGATGGCCGCAAATTTCTCCGAACCATTGGTCAAAGCGGCACAGCTTCACATCCTTGTGACGGCTTCACTGGCTTCCGATGAAGAGCTAAGAAAGGACAGGATGAAATGTCATGCTTTGACTCTGACAGTGATTTTGTACTCAGAACTCAAACAACACTGCTTTGTGTCAACCAGTTGTGTGACGGAGGTGGCTGATGCCGTAGCATTTTTCGACATCAACATTCCATACCCGAACGGCCGAAAACCCTTGACCCTGAAGGAGATCGAGAAGAGCTTGACACTCTCAGGGCCAAGGAAGTGGAAACATGATTCTTTGAGGCTTCGGCCCTTCGGAGGAACTGCTTTTGACCAATGTGCCTCCTTGCTTTGGATCACTTGTCCAGTCGCTCTCCATGCGTATACGGATCATAAGCCTGTGCAGTTGGAGCACCTTATCGAGTACCATGCCACTGATGCTTGGCTTTAACACATCTTGATGATGAGCTTGAGGTCCTGGGGTTTTAGTTTTGCACTTTGTGAATTCATCAAATACCAAGTTGTGTGCGGTGGTGCAATCGGTTTGTCAAAACTATTTCGCATCATTCAGGAGATGCGCTCTGTGCTGGGGGCTTATGTAGCTCCAAAGGATGCGCCATTCCCTTCGCTCGCAAAACACATGCTGAAACTTTGCTCGCTCCCTCATCCTGACGAGGAAGAACTCCTCCTCCCAGCCTCTAAGAGCCGATTCCAGGAAGAGCTGAAGGCTTGCCTTGAAGAGGCCAAAAGAAGGACATGGACAGATTCGGACTTGAAGCAACTCAGCCAATTCTCCGATGCTCACGCACGCTGCGTCAAGATAGTACAGTCAGATGCAGCGGAGAAGCCGGAGAACCCGACGATTCTGGCAAGTCCCAGGACTTTATGGGTGTACAACGTACTGTCAGGTTAGATTGAGTGTTTGTTCGCGAATATTTAAAGTCGATTAATGCAAGAAGAATTCTTTCCACACAAACATTGGTGTTCGCTGCTTCAGGAGGTGCTTCTTTTTCAAAGTCTCGGAGTCTGCGCTTGTTGCAGCCGACTTCCAGGGTCATTTGCGCCAAGCAGACGACGAGTTCCGACAGTTATACGAAAAGATGGGTGTCAAAAACAGCCCAGATGTGTATGACTTGGCGAGAGTGACTCAGCGTGTGGCAGAGAAGATTCAGCACAACGAGGAGCATATCATGGCTGACGATAAGGAAGTCCTGCAAAGTTGTGTCAAAGGCTTTCACTGTTGTGTCCAAAGTCTCGGAGACGAGTCTGACGAGTCATTGGAACCCCTGAAGTTCTTCTTGCCAGACCAGGACAAGAAAATGGAAGAGGTGTCTAAACTTGTTGCTCGGTGAAAAATGATTAAAAAATGAGTGTGGTTGTGGTGCACTCCTTTTCCATCCTTTTCCGCTTTACTGCAGAGGCGGTTGTGGTGTGAAGCTATCAGCTTCAGGTTTCAACATACCGCAGGGACATTTTTTTGGGCGAATAGCTATGAAACAGAACAACCATCTTGCTGACGGGGTCCTGCTGGTGCCAAATGCAGGGACCGGGCCCTTTGTCCGAGGCTTGGCTGGACATGGACTGCTGGAAAGATCGACTTTGCCATCCTGGGCCATTGCGTTTCTGTATGTTCCAAGGAGCCTGACCATCTGGGTTTGTTTGTGCTTGCAAACCAGCGAAAACACCGGTTTTTACTTGAGCTAAAAAAAGTCAATCCCCTACAGTGTTTGTGTTAGTTCATGTGTAGTGTACAGATACTACACTTGATCATAGCCAAAAGGCCAGATTTGAAAATACTACATGCACTCCCCGTTTGGCAGGTTGCCAAAATCGCCCTGCATCAGGGAAGGCATCTACAGCCTAAAATTTGTTATGTAGCACACAGCAAGTTGCGAGGCTGGTGCTCTTGTTGCATGGCTCAAAACGCCACAACATGAGTGTCACCTTTGGTGCACTCATTTCCCGCGGCAGCCATCTTTACAGGTCTTCTGGTCAGACCCAAGGCCCAAGTATTTGCCTCGCTTGGCAGAGTTGTCACCGTCAGCGTAGGCAATGTTGTCGCCTCGCTCGGCAAGTCGCTGTAGTCGGCCCCGATGGCGTTACCACCGCTTCACCTTCTTCTTCATCATCTTCATCCGCCCCTTCTGGGATCACTTCCAAATCCTCATCCAAGGGTTCTTGCTTCACCCTCTTCTCCATAGGCTTCATCTGGACCATTTGCATAGGGTTCTTGGGCATCTTTTCCATCGCCTTTATGGCCTTTCTTGCCCTTCACGAACTCCTCGTAAATGCCACGTCTGGCAAGACCAACTCCTCGGGAGCTCGATGCACCCATGCCCTTGCATTCGCAGCTCTTTAGCGCCTGATTTGGTCCTCCACCTCTTCCATGAAGCACCGGTTTCCCTTGACCTGAACCCTTGCCTCCTTGATTTGTCACCCGCAAGGTCCTTGGCTGCTTGCGCTTGCCCATCACCGTCTGCCAGCTCAAGTTCGGACTGTGGGTGCTGTTGGTCGCAGCCTCTTCTCGAGTTCCTTGTCCTTGTTGCTGTGGCCATAACATCGCAGTGTGGCCTCTGGACTTTCTCAACTTCTGGGGCGTCCATTACGAGGATCTTCCAGCTTGTTGCCAATTGCGCTTGCCACCCCTTGTGAGCCAACCTGAGAACCTCCGCAATTTGAACATGTGCTCGGGGTCCTCCGTATCATCATCATCATCATCATCATCTTCTTCATCTTCAGCTTCAGCTTCGTCTCCATCAGTTTCCGGCTCACGAGGTGGTCGACTTCGTTCGGGGTCATCCCCATCTCTTCGGTGTCGACGATCATCATCATCCCCTCCAGCAGCCATAGCCTTGTGAGAGGCTTCCCGTCGAAGAACCGGATTCGCCTTGGGTCGAAGGCCCATGTGTTGGTTCTGAACCTGCGATCCCTCATCATATTGCGTTTCGATCACCTCCGGCTCTGTTGACTCCCGGCTTGAAATAGTCTTGAGACTTTGGAAGTAGCAAGGGAGCCTCTTATATATATGTTAAAAATAGTTTTATTTTTATTTTCTTACGATTTCAATATGAGGAATTTTATGATTGTTTTTTCTTATCGTCGTTCATTTATGATTCATTTATGATTGGGTTTATGATGAAATTTATGATTTCTGGAACGCTTGGGCCCGGGAGGGCCCGGCCCTCGGAATCATAAAAAAAATCACAAAAAATCACAAGTAAAAGCTTTTTTTTAAAAAACATAGAAAATATTCATAAACAATCATAAAATTTTCATAAATAGATCAAAAAATCATAAACAATTCATAAAACATCTTTAAAAAATCATTGAAAATCATTGAAAATCATAAAGTTTTCATTTAAACACATAAAATTTGATCCTTTCATGATTTTTCTTACCGCTTCAAATTCAAAAAGTCAGAACATTTTCATATAAAAGATCATGAACCATTCAAACAAAATAATTTAAAATCTTTCAACAATCGCAAGAAAAACATAAAACTTTCATAAACAAATCCATAAAATTTTCATTAAAAATCATTCAGAAATCATTTAAAACATTAAAAAATAAAAACCCTAAAAAATCAGAAAAAATCTTACCCTTTCGAATTCATAAAAAAATATTCATTCTTAAAAAAACATAAACATTAACATGTCACTAAAAAATCATATTTTTCTTTAAAAAATCGTAGAATTTTCACTAAAAAAAACATTAAACATCACTTAAAAACATTTTTTTAAAATGTTTCTTTAATGACGATTCCGAGACCCGGACTCTCCCTGGCCCAAGCGGTCCAGAAATCATAAATTTCGTCATAAAAAAGATCATAAATTCAATCATAAAAAAAGATTAAAAACATATCTGAAAATTTCCCGTTTTTTTCCGACATCGTGAAACCACTAAAAGAAAACATAAATAAAATAGTCCGCGCCGAAGCCGCCGGGGATCCTGTGCCACACGTAAAGCCATTGCGCGACAGCCTACGAATTCTTTCGAGGAGAGTCTCTTGTGGAGCTTCTTCTCGAGGCTGGGCAACCGGAGCTTCTTCTTGAGTGTGAGCAACCGGGGCTGACACTGTTGAAGTTGGCGCTGTAGGCCTCAAATCCAGCCAAGCCGTTGAGGCAGCCACCTCTTCCGGTGTCCCATAACGCAGTGGTCCCAAGTCTAAAGAGACATGTCTTTGAGCCATGCTTTGTTGCATGGGAGCTCCTTGATGCCACAGAGGTCTTTGAGGTCCTTGAGCTTGGCCATGTTGTGGCTTCGTTCCAGACTCCTGTGAACCCTGGTGGTGGTGGGCCTGGAAGGTTGTATCCTCCTCCGGTTGTAGGTGCCATCCCATGCTGTCTCTCTTTGAGAACAACCTTTCGTGGTGCTGGGTCTTCCTCACGATCAGGTCGAGTGAGAGCTTGTGGAAGATGCTGCATCATCATCTGCATCTCGGCCTTCTCTTTCTGGGTCAGCCCTTTTGATGCTTTTACAGCCTCTTGCCGAAGATCTTCTTTCGATTGCCCCTTCTTTTCCAGGAGCTTTCTTCGCTCGATCTCCTTGTCGAACCGGTGAGGTTCTCGCTAGGCTCTTCTGGTCCCTCTTCAACCTTTGGGCGAGGGATTCCAGCAGTCTGCTTTTCGATGAGGTGTATTTAGTGTATTTCTCCTGCCCCAAAGCATAGCCCTTTTCAGTCTTTGAAATTTCATAGCCACAGAAGGTGACCGTGTTCTCCATCGTGACCCATTCGGGCGTGGCCAACGTGAACTTCTCCTCGAGAGCAGTCGGCGCTTCCTCAAGGATGTTGTCTGGGGCCACAAGTAAAAGGTCATCCACATAGACCCCCATGTTGCCAATGACGCTCCATTTCTCGCCTTTGGAATTCTTTTCCATCTCTTCAAGCGACCAAATGTGTGGCTCCGGTGTTGGAGACATCCGGCGCTGTTGACCAGCTTCACCTTTCCAAATATAGTCTTGCACGTGGCATCACGCTAGATTGCCCACTCTCGAGGACTTTCCACCAGCCCATTACGCCCTTCACTAGCCACCATTCTTGGCCACATACTTTGACTTCCTTGGTGATCGCCAGCGGGGTGACCAAAGTCAACTTGCCTTTTTCTTCGCGTCTTAAAGATTGAAGAAAAGCAGTCTTTACATCGACCGTCGCGCAGCCCCAGCCACATTGAGATGCCTTTGACACCAGAGGCCTCGTACTCGCCGTAATAGCCCACCAGCTGCCACTCCTGCATCTTCATTTTAGGCAAGTCGTGCTTGTCTTTTCAATGGTGGCTTGATTGTTGCCAAAAGTTTTCCAGGAATCACCTCGATGTCGTGAGTTCTTTGAAGATCCTGGTGCTGCTCCCTGTTGATGGGTTTGATGGCCGTGTGCTTCAAGAGGGAATCGTATTCCGCTTTGATTGGGCCCTTGCATTTTCAGGCAGCTCTTTTCGAACTTCATCCAGGGTAAGCGTTTTGATGACCAGGGTCTCCTGCTCTTTGACCATAGGCTCAAGCTTAGCCAAGCCCCGAAGTGCTCCTTCAAATCGTTGATCCTCATCATCGATACTCTTCAATGTTTTCCCCAACATGTCATAGTCCCCAATTTGGGTTTTCTCTCTTCGAAGACGACACAGTTCATTGTGTTGTAGGAGACAAAGTTCGTGAATATGATGGAGGTATTTTTGGACTTCAGGTTGGAGTTGTTGATCTCCTTCCCACATTTCATGTTCATCTTCATCTCCTTTTTGATTTGGAACACTGGTCGAAGTCTTTGAGGACACCAACTGTTCCAGTGCATTCCCCCCTGTTGTGGCCCACAGCAGCTTAGAGACGCTTGGAGGGAGAAGATCCACCTGCTGTTTGCCACGAAGTCTTCTTGGAGGACTGCCATCAGCAAGATGAAGCTCCCCGGGAGTTGGCACCAGCTTTTGTTTGCGATCCAAAACTTGAACTTCGACTTCAGCACCACCTCGAGGAGCACGAAGTTGCCCGACCACATCATCAGGACATACTTCCATGGGTTCTTCAACATCATCTTGAAGATGATCTTCTTCTTCACCTTCCGGCATGTAAGAGGGTGAATAGTCATCACCATCAGGTTGTGGGAGTTCAGGAAGAACCGGAGGTAGTTCAGGAGGATTGACCACCACGGTAGAGCGCATAAACTTGCCCGTGGTGAGGGACTGAATGTAGGTACCCGTTGCTGGTAGTGCTCATCCCCATTGCTGGACCCAGAACACGGGTCTTTTCAAAAGGATGATCCCAGTCAGCCAATTGATCTCGTTGGCGTTGTTCCACCGTGTGCCTCAAAGCAAGAGGCCACCCATCGGCTTCCAGCCCAGCTGCCCGAAGATGCACCCGCGTTTGTGCCTGGATGATGCTTAGCTCAGACTCACATCGGCCATTTCCTGCAGATTCGTCGCCAGCAGTACTGGTCTGCAAGATGTCCCTTTGAGTGCACCAATCCCGGAGTTTGACACCCATGAACTCCCGAGCTTGATCGCTATGAAGGCGCAGCACCGGCAACTGGAGTGTCCGTAATCGCATGTACACTTCTTGTACTGCACGGACTGCTTCACATGAATGCCTGCGCATGGGCACCGCAAAGTTGAGGTTGCGCACTTCCACATCTTGAAGTTCAGTCACCTTTTCTTTCCAGAACTGATCCTTGGCATCCCACCAGTTTCAGCCGCTGTAAGTTCACCATGTCGATGTGGAAGAATTTGCCATGGATCATCGTAATCTTTTGATGGGCCTTTTGATTCATCATTCTTTTGGTCTGCAGAGGCAAGTCCGCATCCAGAGCAAATTGTCATTGCAAACCAGCTTGAGCTCTTCCTCAGTGAGATCATCACGGCCAAACCGTTCTCGACCATGTCTTGCCCCAACCAGGCGAGGCCCATCATCACCATCAAGAGATCGAAGTCGACAAACACTGACTGACCTACAGGGCGGTCCAGCAAGGAGAACATCTATTTTTCCGCTCCTCGCCAGTTGTTCCAACCATCCGTACAAGTGGCCATTGCGAAGGTCAGCGTTCTTCGAGAGCTTGATGCAGATGATGACACCACCGTTCTTCTCCCGGGCCATCCAAAACTTCGGATCATCACCAGAGAAAAGATGCACCACCAAGGTTTTTGCGCATTGAACTTTTCGTCGATGGTGTCGGTTGAAGATCACCTGATTCATGTCCACCTCGGTACAGCCTGGGATCTCTTTCACCAGATCAGCAGGTAGTTCGGGAAAGATCGCCATTAGCTTTTTCACAGCTTCCACCTCCGGACAGGCTTTTGGCAGTTCCAAATTTGGTTTTATGGCTGCCAGTTTCAATTGCGTTTCACGTCGCTTCTGATCTTCGACCTGTTGGAGACTGCAAAGCCCTTCACGTCGAGTGTTGGAAATTTTTGATCAAGCTGCACCGGCCCGTCCACTTCACTTCATACCCCAGCTGCGTCAATGCCGCCATTGGGATGATCATTTGAACATTGTGAAGCGTCCTGTCACCACATCCTGCTACAAGTCTGTGGTTCCAGATGCCACAGGGACTTGAACCAATTCACCGTGATCCACAATTTTCTTCTTGAGATCGAGCTTTCCTCAAAACATGAGTAGCTCCACCATCAATGAGTACCCTTTGGTTCTTGCCCATGTCAATCTACCGGATGTTGACCGTCTTGACATGGCGATATGCCGTAGGGAGGCTTCCGGAGTCTTGAGAGTTTTGACCAACGAGGATACCTCAGTCACCAACGTCGAACTCTCCCCCGTACCAGCACCTGAAGATCCTTTGGAATCACTTGATGCTTCTTTTCCTCCTCCGGCTTCAATCTTTTTCACATTCTTTTTATCATCTTTTGATCCTGCTGTATTGCCCTTCTGGTCCTCTTTGTTGGCATTTTTTCCACCTTTTCCTTTGGGACTTCCCTTTCCTTGTTTCCCAGAGCTTTTTCCATCACCACGACCGGACCCACTCCCATAGGCTGGAGACCCCTTTGAAGCTCCAGTCGCAGTTTGGCTTTTGTCATCCTTAGTCGGAGAGTTATAGGGGCAGTCCGGCTTCTTGTGGGATGTTGCCCCGCAGGTATAGCAGTGGTACTTGCCGTCTTCATGGGCTGGGTGCATCCGCCCTCAGATTTCCAGAAGCGGCAAACTTGTTGAACTTGTGCTGGAGAACCAGTCTTTTGATCCTTCAGGGTTTTTACCGAAGGTGTTCCCTGGCTGTTGAACGGTGTCGGTTGAAGGACGTGTGTCCACCTGGGCTTGCATTCTGAATGCATTCAGCCGGAACGTCGCCTGTGGGTTTTATTGCAAGAGCTTGCTCATGATGCGGTCCAGCGTCCCAATCATGAGGGTTGGATCAGGTAGTGTGGCGCTCAATTCTCCCGCACGAGTGTAGTGCCTGTGCCACATCTTCAAAGATGTTGAAGCCTCCAGAGATGTCCCTGCGGTTTGGGTTGTTGTCAGGGCTTGTAGAGTGTTTTGCCTCTCCCCAATCCGCCAGGCTGGTAGACCTTCATCACCTTGAAGATGATCTGAGCTGCACCCAGCTCGCGATTCGCAATCATCTCTGAAGCCAAACTCTTTGGAAGCGCCTAATCCGTGGGGCAATTCCGCCACCGAAGGAGGTTGTACATTGAGACGAGTGATCGGGTCGCTTCCCAACCATTGTTGATAGCGTTGAGTGGTCATGGTTTCCAAGGTATCCCACCACCACATCGCTCTATGGCTCACGTCGGCGATCTGAGGTCTGATTTGCGCCATCCAGTCGCCAGCTTCGAGCCCTTGGTTTTTGCCTCCAAAGTCAGGAAGTTTGGGAAGAGTGATGGTCACCGGTTTGAGCTCTTCTTCGCAAGGCCGGTCATCTTGAACTCCTCCACCCAGGAAATTCCCTGGTACAGAGTTTCCACCTCCATGATTTTGACCACCATATTGATGATCTCCAAACTGGCCGCCCTTTTTGTGGTTGTCCCGCTCCCCCATTAAGTCCACCACGTTGGTCTCCAGGTTGACATGGGTATCCGCCTCCAAGTTGGTTTCCAGACATGGATTGCCCTTGTTGATGAAGATGGGGATTTGCACTGTTGACCTGGACCCAGTCCGTCATTGACGGAGATTCCACTGAGCCATAGATGGATCAGCATTCGGAGGTCCCACTCTTTGAAATGGTTATGCTCCATAAGCACGAAAGGGATCTTGACCTGGAATCCGCCGCATAGTCAAAGCTTCACGGAGATCCTTGAGTTCTTCTCAAGTCGTTGGACCCTTTCCGCTTCGGGATCTGGTACTTGTTGAACTTCACCTCTTCTGCTGTTCCAAAAGCCATGTAAATCACGATCATCCTGCTTAGAAACCACATGGACTGACTGAGGTCCCAGCCATTTGCTGACCCCCGCCCAGAGGCATGGGCGGTACCAGAGGCAAAGGCGGTGGCATTGGATCCTTCTCCACCTTTTCGATTGGCAGGAAGTCTTGTTCCACCAGGAGTGACTTTGTTCACGTCTTTTGTCTGGTGGTTCGTTGGCGTTGTTGGAGTCGTTCTTGAAGGCACAGACTCCCAACTTGAAGTGTCCAACTCATCTTGATGTTGTTGAACTTGTTGAACTTGTTGCGCACGAGGAGGTTGCTGGGTTTGGCTCATTGCATCCAACCTTTTTCTGAGCTCCTCATTCTCCTGCATCAACTGTTGCACCAGCAGAGAGCTCAACAACGTTGGGCCTTCTTGATCCTTTGACTCGACCTTTTTTGGCTCTGCATGGATTTCTTTACCCAGCAGATGATCTTGACCTTGTCATTGAAAACGATCTTCACCTCTTGGTCGGCTTCGATGCTTTCGTTGATGATCTGCCGAAAGTCCACGAGGATCTCGGTCATTATTTTGGCGATTGCCCCCACATTGAAGGTTTTCAGGACCCCTTTGATGGATTCGTGGGCCCCGCCCTGATTGCAGAGTTGCATCATCACCATGTGAACCTCGAAGAACATCACCTAGGAGATCGAGAGAACGTTGCCTTTGTCCAGCAGCATTACCACCCCTTTCTCCATGACCTTGCCGTAGAGGTCCTTGAGAACGAAGCACATCACCATGTCGTTCTCTTTGATCGTTTCCCCCTTGACCTTTCCCTCGATGTCCTTTACTAGCAAGAGGGCCAAGAAGATCTACTTGAGGAATTCCTGCACAAGAAGATTGATGCGCTAGGTCCCCATCAAAGTCGAAGAGGTTGAAGTTGGCTGCCTCCTCATTCATCCTGAACACCTGGGTGCGTTGTGGTCTTGGAGTTTGTGGATCTCAGCAAACGCTATTTGAGTTGGCATTGCGCCTTGACTTCTAACCATTCCTCCACCGCTGCCCATCGCCCCAAGAAGTCCTTGCACCGGTCTTGGTGTTTCATCTCCTGGATCCCACTCATCAGCAGGAACAGGAGGTAGACTCCACGGAGTTCCCGGAATCTGCGGCAAGGTGGCCTGTCTCAGCCCATCCACCACAGCTGCATCTTGTACTCTTCGAGACCAGAAAGGGATCACCTGCTCATCCCCATTCATGTAGAGATACCCTTCTCGATGTCCAGGTTCGCTTCTCCCACGACGATGCGCCATGTTTCAGCAAAGCGAGGTACGGTTTGGGCTCATAACCTGCTTGCGGAGCAGCGAAAACACCTGTTTTTCACTTGGGCCGAAGAAGCCTGCAGAGGAGAGGTCGCTCAATCCCCTACAGTGTCTGTGTTAGTTCATGTCTAGTGTGCAGATACTACACTTGATCATAGCCAAAAGGCCAGATTTGAACATACCACATGCAGTTTGAAGCCGGGCATACCACAGGATACCCTCCAAATGGCAACGGGAATGGGCATCATAGTTGATAATCCATTGGAACTGTGGGTTTGCTGCGCGAGTCATGTTTGCAATTGCTTTGCGGGAAGTACAGCCGATTACAACTTGACTAAAGCCCACTCGCTGCACGCTCTGGTGATCTCTGAAGTGACATGCGCTAGTCCAGTGCTTCGTTAAATGCATCTCGGCTCTTGCCTGGCTAGGAAAAGAGGTAACGGATGCCATGCTGCAATCATTGTCTTGCGCCGGGCTTAAGCCGGTGTCAAGCCTTGCAAATTGGCTGCACTAGAATGCATCTGGTTTCTTGATCCAAGAGACCGAACTTGTGATCATGGTCTATTGAGTCTACTGCCTTTCCTTCAGGGCATGGTTCCTGTGAAGGTGCAAATCCAGATATTGATGGGCTCTGCACACCGGCGCCATGAGGAGAAAGGTTCTGAGGCATGGCCTTAGGTGGAAAAAAGGCTTTATTGCAGCGACTTTCGTATTTCAACAGGCGCATTCAAAAAAAACTTTGTGAATACTACAAGTCTTTGCATGCGGGTTGAAAACCGCACTCACGGTTTAGTCTTTTTTTCTTGACGTGGTTGGGGTGGGTTGGGGTGGGCTGGGGTGGAGCTGGGGTGGAGCTGGCTAAGGACACAAAAGTTCACTTGCAGAATTATGAATGCTATGTTTGACTTACATCTCACTTCTCTCTCTCTTCTCTCTCTCTCTCTCCCCCTCTCCCTCTCTCTCTCTCCCTCCCTCCCTCCCTCCCTCTCCCTCCGCTGCACGTAGGTATGTGCACTTAGTTGCGTGCCTGGTGTTTTCTCTCTTGCATGTAGAATGCAGACTTGATGCTTCGCCTGACATATTCTCATTTGCGCGGAGATTGCGGCTGGATGCTTCGCCTGGGGCGTTCACTCTTGCACTTGGAAACTGCTGGGCCTTAAATTTTGAGAAGCATGAATGCCATTTATTGGTTCGGTTTGACTGTTTGACTGCTGCGTGTTGAATCATGTTTGCTTTGCTTTCATGGTTTGTCAGTTCTTCCCCCTATAGATTTTGATTTCTTTGGGTTGTAAATATGTTCAAAGAGCAATCGAAAGGACAGGTATGAACCAGACTCAACATACACGCATTGCTCAACCCTGAACACTGAACATCGTGCTGGAATAGGGTTCCTGAGATCAGATGTGCTGGGTCGAATCTGTGATTTTCAATGAGTAGAGCTGCTTTCGATTCCCAGGTAGAAGAAATAGCCGCAAGCGAAGTGGACGTTCTCGATGTCCACCCCGAGAGCCTCCAGGAGAGAATTTTTCAATCTTGTGTTAGGCCTGTGTAGCGGTGCTGGACACATCATTTGGCGCTTGTTCGTGTTTTGTTTTACCTGCCCAGGATACACTTCGGAAATTCTTTTCTTCACCCTTGTTCTCGCAAGGGTTCCAGGCCAGAGTTGACAAGCGGTACGGTGTCAGGAGTTACTATAGAAACTCAGGTGTAGCTTCACGTTTAATGGTGCAGAAACAAGTATGGACATTCATGGGTCCCAAATGGTGCAGACGAACGCCTACTGTAGATTAAACAAGTTCAGACTTTTGATGTTTCCCGAACTGCCAAAAAATTCACCCATGTGGTGGGGGACGCTGTGATGTAGAATGTAGAGGCCATGCTGCAAAGCGACGACAAGTATGGAAACGACTGCGGGCCGATGAGTCAGAAGATGGTGGAAGAAAAACTCCAGCACTTAGTCATCAAGTCCGTGCCGAGAGACTTTACGAGCCTACTGCGCTGGATAGATGGACAACAGGTCTTGGAGGGCAGCGAAAAGAACACATGTGCAGTTCTTCAGTCTGATCAGCTTCTGATCAGTGATGATGCCTTCAATTTTCCTGATCGAGCTGTCAGCGACATGTTTGCTGCATTCTGCCAGATGCCTGGGTTGGTATGCTGTTTGAAACTGGTGGAACGACCTTTCAAAGAAGTGTTGAAGCTTGCATTTAACAAGGGCCCCACAGGCATTGCAGATGTCCTACGAAGTTTCCAGATCGACAACGAGTTGGACACAGACATGTGCCTGGGCATTGGCGACAGGCTTCCGAAGGAGCTGCATAAAAACTTGAACTATGCGATGAATGTCGCTTTTGAGGCAAGGCATCATGCAGGGAACCCCCAACAGGTTTAACCAACAACTTCAAGTGGCATTTCAGGCCAAATGACGTCCTGCTCGTTGGTGGCCTGTGATATCCTTGCGTTGCATCTATTGCATCTATTGCATCTATTCTTTTAGATGTCAAAAGATGTACTCATTGCGTTTTGCTGGGGGTTTAGCCAGGGTTTAGCTCCCTTGCAGGTTGGGGAGTACGTGATTGCAGAGCAAAGCGGAGAGTTCACTGTGGCTCGGGTGGCCCCATGGAACGATGAACTTGATGGGAAACCACGCGCGCATGATCAGCGAGGTTTAATGCGACGCTACCGAGTTCAAGTCTCGAAGAATGGCTATGAAACTATGTGCCATCACTGTTTGTACAAGATCTCTGGTGTCTCTCAGAACTCAGGTGCTTCGAGCTTCCAATCGTATTCAATTTGCTTGGCGGCTGGTCCTGGCAATGATGCAGAAGTAGTGAGTCAGAATCATCGAGAGATGCTGAACGAGGTGAAAGCTCAGCTCCGAGACATGGCCAAAATGGAGTCAGCCGACTACAAAAAGGCTCTGCACAGATTGTTTTTGCGGTGGCATCCCGACAAGTCTGGAAACACACCCTTCAACAATCTGATCTTCCGCATGCTGCTGGGTCTTCAAGGCAGTTGTTTTGGCAAGTATTGGAGTTTTTCCTTCTTGCATTGATCTTCCAGGGATTTGCCCAGCTTGTGTCTGGCAAATGGCTTGAGGCTTAAAAAACATGAAGTTTGGTTTCGCAACGGTGGTGGCGACGACCGGTGGCTGGATGAATTTGGGGTGGACGCTGAAGCTTTGCAGGAAGATGCTGTAAAGACCACGGAAGAGTCCGAGCAGGCTGGGAAAGGGTACGTCGGTCATGTTGGGATATATCATGTATGATTTGGTGGATTTCCAAAGATGTCATCGATTGAGGTCTGAATCAGTACTATCTTATCGTTATCCTCAACTGGGACATTTTGGAAGTTTGGATGCGATTGTTCAGGGGTGGGAAGAACCGTGGGCAGAGCCAGAGCCCAAAGCCTACCGGGCCTACCGCCGGAAATCATCGCAGGCACCGCAGACTTGACACTGTGTCAATGACTTGAGTGACTTGAGAACTTAAAACAGTTCCAAACAATTCCAAGACTTCCCGAATCCTGTCTGGTTTCAGAAAATCGCGGAGTTTCAGGGATTTCCGGTGCGGGCTTTTTTTTCAGGAGGGCTATTCATTTTTTTTTTCGCGGCAGGTTTTGTTTTTTTTGGGTTCCTGGCTCTATGCTTTCCTGCTTCTCTGCTTTTCTGCTTTTCCTGCTTCTCTGCTTGTCTGCTTTTTGCTGTCCCTGCTTCTCTGCTTTTCCTCCTTCTCTGCTTTTCTGCTTTTTGCTGTCCCTGCTTCTTTGCTTTTCTGCTTCTCTGTTTTCCCTGCTTCTGTGCTTTTGTACTTCTGTGCCTTTCTACTTCTACTATTCTACTTTTTCTTTTCTTCAGTCATGTGTTTTTGCTGCTCTACTTCCTGCTCCTTTGCTTCTTTGCTTCCTGTCTTTACAGTCTCTTTGTTTTTCATTTTCTTTTACTTTATTCTGTTGTGTATCCTAAATGAAACCCTATAGAGACCCTAGGTGAAACCCAAAGAAACCCTTAAAAACTCCTGATAAGAAACCCTACATGAAGCCCTAAATGAACCCTAAAGAAACCATAAATGAACCCTAAAGAAACCATATATAAATGAATCTAAAGAAACCATAAATGAAACCCTAAAGCAACTTTAAATGACACCCTAAATGACATCCCAAAGAAACCTTAAACAACACGCTGAACAAACTAAATGAAACCTTAACTAACACCTTAGCTGAAACCCAAAATTGACACCCTAAAGGAACCCAAAGTGACATCCTAGATGAAACCCCAAAAAGAACCCTAAAGGAACCCACGTGAACGTTTAGAAATCGTGAAAGGAAATCTTGGTAAGAAACCCTGGAATGAAACCCTAAAGAAAGCTTAAATGAACTCCTGAATGAAACCTTTAATTGAAACCCTAAAAAAACTTTAAATGAAAGCCTAAAGAAACCCTAAATGAAACACTAAAGGAAGCTTAAATGAACTCCTGACTGAAACCTTAAATTGAAACCCTAAAGAAACTTTAAAGGAAAGCCTAAAGAAACCCTAGATGAAACCCTAAAGAAACCCTAAATGAGACCCTGAATGAAACCCAAATTGAAACCCTAAAGAAACTCTAAATGAAACCCTGAAGAAACCCTAAATGAAACCCAAACTGAAACCCTAAAGAAATTCTAAATGAAACCCTAAAGAAACCCCAAATGAAACCCTAAATGAAACCCTAAAGAAACCCTAAATGAGACCCGAAATGAAAACACTGAAACCCAAAAGAAACCCTAAATGAAACCCTAAAGAAACCCTAAATGAAACCCTAAAGAAACCCTAAATGAAACCCTAAAGAAACCCTAAATGAAACTCTAAATGAAACCCTAAATGAAACCTTAAATGAAACCCTAAATGACACCCTAGATGAAACCCTGAAGGAACCCTAAAGGAACCCACTTGAACGTGTAGAAATCGTGAAAAGAAATCCTGGTAAGAAACCCTGGAATGAAACCCTAAAGAAAACTTAAATGAACTCCTGAATGAAACCTTTAATTGAAACCCTAAATTGAAACCATAAAGAAACTAGAAACCTTAAATGAAACCCTAAAGAAACCCTAAATGAAACCCTAAAGAAACCTTACATGAAACCCTAGAGAATCCCTAAAGAAACCCTAAATGAAACCCTAAAGAAGCTCTACAGAAACCCATTTAAACGTTTTGAACTCCTGATAAGAAATCCCGATGAGAGAGCCTGCATCAAACCGGAAAAAAACTTAAATGAAACTCTAAAGAAACCCTAACCCTAAAGAAACCCTAAATGAAACCTAAATGAAACCGTAAAGAAACCCTAAATGAAACCCTAAATGAAACTTTGAATGAAACCCTACATGAAAGCTTAAAGAACCCCCAAGAGACTCGCATGAACGTTTGAAGCACCAAAATGTAGCACATACCATGCAAATGAGAGGTTGACATGCCAAAATGTGACACATACCATGCAAAATGGAAGGCGAACATGGCCAAATGTACCAAATACCATGCAAAATGCAAAGTGACCATGCCAAAATGTAGCAAATACCATGCAAAATGATAGGTTCTAATTCCAAACCAAGGCAAATGGTACCAGGAAAGAAAGCCAATCAAAATTCCAAAACCTGAGGCCAAAAAAATCAAAAACTATTCTACACCCTTTTTTTCATGGTGCTGTCAAGGCATCCTGGTTCCAAGAGTTTGAAGAGGAGTGGAAGAGCCAGAAGCAGCCGCCGCAGAGGCAAGCCCCGACCAAGCACTCTCCGCCTGTGCGTGTTTGGATCCAACCAGAGCCGCAAACTTGGACATTGCCAAGGCTGGACATCACAATAGGTCTTATAAGTACATGACATGCAAATATTGTCAGCAAACTTGATCAAGTATGCTTTATATCCTCATGGATCTCTTGTTTAATGACAGCTCAACAGTTGACTACAACGGCCTGAAGTTTTCTAGTGTTTTCTGCGGGTTCTGTCCTGTCAAAAACAAGTGAAACATTGTGCGGAGGACTGTCAATGAAAGCCAGGCTTCCATTTGGCTGTCTCAAGCAGAGTATGATCTTCAAACAGCCTTGCACCTCAAGGAGGCTTCAGATTCGGCAGGACGTCCATTCTCCTCGCCAGCTGTGTTTCATGCATCGCAAGCTGTGGAGAAGGCCTTGAAATCTGCGATGCTGCGAACCTGTGGTCTGACGACAGAAGAGTTCACAGGTCAAGAGGGTCACGATCTCGAGGCTTTGCACCTACGCCTCAAAGGAGCTGACCCTGAGACGGAACCACAGAAATTGGCACAAGACCAGTTGCCTGGGACAACCCCGGACATGGCATGGCTGAAGAAAGCATATTTGGCCACTCGTTACCCAAATGTCCTTGGTGCAGGTCAGATCCCTGCACTTGCCTACTGTCCATCTGATGCTGAAAGAGCTTGCCATCTCGCTCAACAAGTTGTTCCTTGGGCCAAAAACCTTGAAGATTTGCCGCCTCGCGGCGAACCGAGGAGGAAACCCGCAAGGTTTTGGACAGACACCGAGGACACCGAGGAGAAAACTTCAAGGGTGGCTCCTGCTCCTCCTTCAGGGCCTGTCATACAAGAACCGCCGCCAGCATCGCTACCAGCATCACTTCCGAAGCGACGGCTCCGACAACCGCAGATGCCAAGACTGCTAAGGTCCTCAACTCCTCCACCTCTCGCTGCCAGGTCAGTGAAGAGGATCAGGAGGCTGAGCAATACGCGTAACGCTCAGCGTAACAAGCGCTTGAGGCTACAGATGTTGGACCACAGCTGAGACGGCAGGTTGACCTAATGTCGACAAACATTGCTTGAAAGAGGCTGTGACATTCTGAGTGACCAGAGGAAGCAACAAATCAACAGATCAGGGTTTGACGAAAAGTTAATGGGCTGAACATGCTCAAACGATTGATTCTGCAAGAACTGTTGGTGACTGTTGGTGCCTCCCAGCTTCCTTAATTGAGTCCCTCCGTGCTTGGCTACGGACTTGAAGACAATTCAAATTTGTACCTGCATTTTGGAAGACTAGGTGTCAAGTCATATTGAGTCCACGAATCCTTGACTAAATGTATACTTATATACTGATATACTCATGCATTGAGCTTGGCAGGCTTTGGGCGTGCATGTAGCATCCTTAAGCGAGCCAATGAATGCTATCATTTTGGCTCAAGTTGGAGTTGAACCAAAATAGCATTCATTGCTTTTCTTTCTGGGTCTAGGAAGGGGTGACCTTTCTCGACCGAGATTATTCCAGCTGTGACCTGGTGTACTGCGAGGGGTGACCTCGTTCGTGTGCTGCGTAAGGTCCCTGGAATCGACATCCCTGCTGCCACTGAGGCTATCATCCTTCACGCAGCAGCGTTCCTGGAGTTCAAGGGGCATGTGGAGAGGCTGGCAAGGGAGGGCCACGACTTCGTTGCATACACGTGTTGGATGCACGCAGTTGAGATTATAGGCACCCTTTGTCATCCCTACAGCCAGTGAATCTGAACTGTTCCCTCCTTTGGTCAAGATGCCTTGGCTGCACGAGCGAATGCCAGCGTTGCGCAGAATTCTTGGAGGGTTCAAGTTCCCCTGTGGAGGAGCCGGGGACGCTTGGACCTACTACTATGAGCATCAGGAGAAGATGGACCTCCTTCTTCTGGCGGTCTGGGAGCACTACGGTTGCCAAGGACCTTAAGTATGGCCTTCAACTCCGTTGCACAGCGGGCGACGCTGGGCAGCTGGGGATGGGGAGCTGTTCGAAGCCTGGCGCACTGGGAGCCCGTTTGAGCACCATTGTGTACGAGACAAGTCTGCTGGGCATGGGCTCTGCAGCTCCTGCTTTCCAGGGAGGCACAGCTGTGTGCAATGTGGGGAGCGTCGGAAGATGCTGGTGGACCCATGATTGTACGAGGGAGGTGACACCTTCATCCCCAATCCCGCAGCATCTTTTTGCTCTCCGCACCTTAGCAATTTTGTTAGGGTGCACTGCCATGGCATCATGCAGGTGGCAAAGGCTACTATGCTGCACTGGCAGCCTCTTCCTCCTCGTCAGAAAGTGACCTTGCACAAGGTTGGAATGCAGCTGACTCCCTTCGTGAGATCGCAGCGTAGCGAGCTGCGGAGGGTCTGCAGGACGACAATGACTTCGCCTACGCTTACCTCGACTACGATCAGGTGGTGGGTCTGGCAGGCCATCATGTGGCTGATGATTGGCGGCACGAGTCGAAGAGGGCCTGCTAGCTGCAGGGGCTCGGGTGGTGGACGGCAACCCCAAGGGTCCTGCCCTATATTGCGCCCCGTGAAGAAGACGAAGACCATCTACAAGTGGAAGCCCAAGACCATCAACGTAGACAAGAACTACAGAGAGGCAATCCAGAAACGCATCAATGGCTTTGTCTCCATGTTCCAGGGCATGGGATCCTACAAGCTTGCAGGTATCTTGACGGAAGCCTTCCGCTCCGAATGGAAGCAGACTTGCAGAAGGATCGCAGAGAAGAAGGTCCAGGATGCGGAGAAAGCCACTATCGACAGGGTGGCGAACACTTGGCTGGAGTTGCGATCCTTCCAGGAGAGTCGGGGCCACCCGCACCTCCGGAAGTGATGGATCTCGACCAATTCCTCCAGCACACCAATGCGCCGGCACGAGCCCTTGAAGCTCTGAAGTGGATGAAAAAAATACCAGCCAGGAGATGGGCTTGAGCAACCTGCAGGTGCCTGTCACGCCCAGGGCGACTGGGCCTGGTGGCCAGGCTCCTGTAGTGGAGCCTCCACTCATCAAAGCTCTCGAGGACAGAATCGTCGAGCTTCATTCTGTCGATGAACGCTGGACGGTGCTGCTGGCCTCGTGGATGATGGCTTTCGGGTGTTTGCGCTACACACACACACACATCACTCGATCGGAGCCAAGGAGATTGACGGCGGCCTTCCTGCACTGTCGATGCCAGAAAGGCAAACAGAAGCACAACAGAGATGACTTTGACTAATTATGCCATCCCTGCTTGTAGTTCGTGAGCGTGCCACTGGATACCATCTACAAGTATATACTTCAGAGCGAAGCGCAGCACGATGATCTTGCCCATGTCCCAGAGACTCCGATGGCCCCAAGCTCGGGACGTTGAGGAACGCACAAGTTCAAGGAGTCGACAAGTACTGACCTTGGGCCAGGTCATCAACGAAGTTTACACATCCAGGGACGCCCATGGCACTGGACATTCCCAGGCACGCCGTCCCCTGAGAAGAAACACCGGCCCCAACGGCCGCCTCAGCTGTCAGCCCATCCAAACCATCGACAGGGGCATCACAGATGAAGCTGGGCAAACCATGAAAGACGGCACCAAGCTCTGCCAGCAGCTTCACGAGGAGGATGCAAAGCCAAGCCATGTCCCCAAGGAGCCCATGAATGCGCGGCAGTCATCCGGAAGGATAGAATTTGTGGCGCCTGTAATCATGGGGCCACGAACTGCAATTCAAAGCGTTGAGACTCCCCAGAGAAGGAGACGGCCGCCTTCTCTGGATCAAGTGGTGAAGAGCCGCAAGAGGGGCGACCTCTCATGGCTGACCTGATGGTGGGACCAGGGGCGCCACTCACCAAAGCCTTCATCAGCTATGGTGGGTGGAGTTGCATCACTGTGGATTAGCTGATCGACCCGAGCCATGACCTTGCAGACGAGGAGCGCCAAGCATCTCTCAGCAGTCAGCTTGAAGAGGTGATCTTCATTGTGGCTCGTAGGTTCGAGGATGGTCGGCGGCCAGCGCCGGGGCCATTGCGCTCCGAGGCCTGCTGGGATCGCCCCATTTGTCGGCCTGAGCGAAGCGGCAACAAGGCATGTACCTATGTGCTCCGAGAGCTCTAGATCCAACAGCTGCATGACCGTGCCGGGGGTAGCATCAGGGAGCACCAGACCTTGCGCCACAACATTGACGAGATCAGCCAATGGCCAGTGGCCAATTGCCACCATGTGCATGGCACACAGGAGTGGGTGCCATACACATGCCAAGGGCAGCGAGTCTACCCGCCACGGGAAGGTTGAGTACACGGCCATTTTTGGCATTTTCCATTGCAGTTTCTGCTAGCTGGTGGTTTGGCTAAGCTGGCAGTCCTGGGTATGCCAGTTTCTCTCCTTCTTGGGCCGAGGGCACTTGTTGGCATAGTGGTCCGTCGCTCCACATGCCCAACACCTTCTGGTGTCTCCTTCAACTTGGTGCTTCCAGGCACATTGTTGTCCTTTACGACAACCTTCCTCAGTGAGAAAGAACTTGCATGGTGTGTTGCCCTTCTCGGCCCTCCATCCCTTTCCTTCTCCTGAGTGCTCCTCAATCTTCTTCAGCTTCGCATCAGGCTGTGCTGCCTTTGCTGCGTCCTTTGCTATGCTCTTCTTGTTGTTGTCTAGGTGTGCTATCTGTTCCATCTCTGCCAGGAGATGTGTTGCGAACTTTCCCACTGTGTCCCTTGTTGGGGTGGAATCCACTTGCAAGGTGGACCGAGCCAGGCTGACTCGAAAGTTCAGTTCCCTGTTTCCTTCCAGGGGCTTCTTCACGATCCACTAGAATGGGCAATGGCTCCTCTGGCTGTCACCCTGGGACTCACTGCAGAGTTGCGGGTAGCACGACCGGGGTTGCCGGTCAGAAAGCCAGTCACGGAGGTCATGGTGGCAAAGATGCAGTGCAAGATGGTGTAGTCTATGTGGGCCGCGGAAGCTTCCACCATCGGCTCTCTACCACCAAATGGAAGCCACTATGCATGGACACCAGGCCATAACTGCGAAGCACGTGAATGGCCCGCCACATACATCATCCATGTCACAACTTCCACCTTATGGGATGCCCTGCTGGCCTCTACTTCGATGCCACTGCTCCAGATGCCCAGCCACGATGGCAAGTGGTCCCGGTCAGTAGCGCTGCTACAAGGAATCCAGGCCATCCCCAGGGGTATGTCCTTCCCAGTGATGGTTCATCAATTTCAAATTTGCAATGGTGGAGGATCTCATCAACAGCCCCCCTTTCTACCCCGCTTGGTTAGCAGAACGGGGTGAATCTTGGGATGGACCACTAGTCCCCCACCTGGCCCGCGGGCAAATGGCCCGGATTGGAGATGGATGCCAAGTGGGGGGGCATGACCCATCCTGCAGCTTTACCTCCACTGCTCTCCTTCAACCTTGAACCAGATGAGCACTTTCGAAGAGCGTTGGAACGAGCGCAGCAACCCCTGCCCCACGAGGATATTCCAGTGACTGACTTGGACTTGCAAGTTGTGGCATCTGGCTACACAGTCGATGGAGGGCCATTGCGGCCTTGGCGACAATGGTGCCATAAATTGAGTTCAAGCGTCGCTGGGACCCTCCATTTTGAGAAGCTTCCCAGAACTCGCAATCCAACAAGTGACCAAGCAACGTGACATTGGCTTCATTGCGGTGCTCGTCATCCTGACATCTTGGGCCGACACTGGTTTCCCATGCGGTTTGGTGAAAGGGTTGCCAGCAGCGGGATATGTGCCACCTTATGGTATCTTTCCACAACAACCAGCACGTCGCATCACACTGCCTGAAGTGTTGTGTGGGTGGGAGGAGCACAACCAGAAGATCCTTAACCAGTTGAAGCCTGGCAAGGACGATGCTTTTCTGCTGCAGCAATCTTTGGAGGACTACCAATGGGTTCTGCACACCTCCGCTGCGCCGCTCTGAATTCCTCTCCTACATCGCAGGCCAAGCTCACAGACTGATCCCAAGGTGTGTCATGACTCAGAGCTCTGGAAAACAGCGAGTGATAGGCAACGGGGATATTGGCGGGCAAACG